CCCCATCAAACACCTTTGGGATGAACTAGAACGTGATTGCGAGCCAGGCCCTCTCGCCCAACATCATCTGACCATACAAATGCTCTTCTGGATGAATGGGACAAAAATTCCCACAGACACTCCAAAAGCTTGTAGAAAACATCCCAGAAGAGTGGAACCAACTCCATAATAGTGCCTATTGATTTAGAGTAAGATGTCATTAAAGCTCCTGTAGGTGTAATGTGTAAGTGTCCCAATACTTTTGTACATTTAGTATATATCAAAAAAGTAAATCTGTGTTATTGTAATCTTGTCTGCCAGTGTTGACCCATGTTAAGACTGGTCTCTTTTGAAGGTGCCATGGCTGTCCTCTTTTAAAGTCTAACAGCTTGGAGCTATCGTCAAACTACAGGCCCTGAACCACCTCAGCATGCCTGTAAATGAGATTCTGTTGCTGGAGGTCTTTCAGCTCATGCCTATTCAGCTAGCTTGTAAACATGTTTTTCCCTATTTTTTTTCTTTCTTTTTTCCATCTGTAGAGGAATGGGTTGATGGTTGACAGCTTTGGGAGGAGTGGAATGGTAACCTAGTTTCTCTCCCACGCTGTAGTGTCTGTAGTAAGGCTTCTGTGAACCCCTCCAACTAGGGCACGGCTTTATGTTTTCCTGTCATATTATATTTATTCCTGATTTGTGACTGTCTGCAGATCAAAAGATGAATGTGATTATGAGAGTTTGGCTTTTACTCTTTGTTAGTAAATGGTGGTGTCGTTCTGCAGAAGGCTGCAGATCCGTGCTCCAGAAAGCAGCACACCATAAAAGAGCCAGCTGTTAGCTTTCATAAAAATTGTGCAGCACTGGCCATTAAACTGCACCATAAAGTGAAATTTAGAGGCATCAGTTCTAGACAGCTGTCATAGAGGATCTTATGGATGTTGCAAAATCTTGCAGCGTGATCCATAATGCTTGATAGTGAGCACCACGTTAGACCATGTTAAAAATGAACGTTCTTATTCCCACTTAAATAATGTTGAGTCGCCTTCCAGCTTTAGACTAACCTGGATCCTGCTTGTAACACAAGCACAGCTTTGCACGGCAGTTGCCTGTATCAAGGGAGAAGTGTTTTAATAGGCTGCTCACATCTATGTGCTTTTACTAGACTGAGGTAAAGGGCTAGTGAGCGGTCCCCCGGCTAACACCCTGCTCATCCTCTTCCTAATGAGCTTCAGGAAACAGCTTTTTCCAGCAGGGGTTACAGAGGATGAGGGCCCGGATGCAGCACAGTGTTTTAATGACTGGGATTTGTAGAATTTGTTTAAATAAGCACACTAGTGTTATAAGTGCACATTGTGTCATATTGAGACATATTAGCTATTACACTTATGAATGTGTAAACTCCTTTGGTTATACAACTTCCTCTAGTTAATGTTGTGCAAACTGCTGCCTAGGTCAGGACACACTTGCCTGAGGCCATATTAGGTTTTTAAGTAATCTCAAATAGGCGTACTTATGTGGTTTCTGACATTGTACGTTATATGTAAAATTAGACGAAGCTATTTAAAGCCGTAATTTTGTCTGTTCTTTGTCCATTTTTGCAGATAATAGTATGTGATACAGCAGTGGTCACCAACCCTGGTCCAGAAGATCTACCTTCCTGTGGACTGCAGTTCAAACCACAATCTGCCACATCTGCTCTAGATAATTGATTTGTTTAGAAGTCCTTGAGTGGCTGTTTCAGATACATTAATGTTAGGTAAGGGACGGGGGCAGCATGTTAGATGCAGGTTGGAACTAAACTCCACAGGAAAGTAGATCTCCAGGAAGAGGATTGGTGACCACGGTCATACAGTGTCAGCAACAGGGCCGCTGTGGTGGGTATGGACTTCCATGTCTTCTTAGCTACATTAACCTTGTACCACTACACTCTCAGAAATAAGGGTACGAAACTGTCACTGGGGCGGTACCCCTCTTGTCACTAGGGACTCCACACACCCCTGTATCGTCTCCAGGCTTTTTATTTTATTTTTCTGTTTTAAAACGTTAGGTTATGAAAAGGTACAAATACTTACTTTTCACCTGGGAAAAACATATTTAAGGTACACATCTGGACCAGTGTTGGTGAGATTTTTAACTGTGCCTTTTAATTCGTCATCCTAACCACACCCAACTCTGTGTAGAACTGCTTACTGCTTAGAGAACCAAGTACAAAGAGGCTAGAGTGGCACAGATACTGTGGATACACTGTGACAAACTGCATTATGCTGCATTGTCTATAGCATTCCAGCACCCGATAGTGAGCACCGAGTCTAAAGCACTAACCAGAGAGGTAGTAAAAGAGTGTGTGTTTGCGTGTGTATATGTTAGCCTGCCTGAGCAGTCTGTCTAGCAAAGGCTTAGTGATTTACTAAGGCAGTGAAATCATCATTTGAATTGGCTACTTCTGGCTGTATGAGTACCATCACAGAATATCTTGCAGAGGGTTGGGATGGACTAAAACGCGTTTCAACCTGTGAGATAAATGCAAAGCCTTTGATGAGCTGGAAAGGTGAGTTAGAACAAATTAAATTCCACAGTGAGCAATGTTTTGGGCTTCTAGGACCAAAAATTTTCCACCCCAGTCTAGAATCTCATCATCTTTACAATGTTCTCTCCATTATTAGTGGGCCTACTGCTCCTTGACTCAGCATTGCTGCTTTTGTGTGAAAGCCCTGACTTTGAGAGAACACGAGAACATGTAGGACCTTATTTCCTTGTTCTGTATGCTCTAAACTCTTATACATAGTCAATAAATGGCCTGCCTGTGGAGTTCTGATGGAATGCTGTTCATTATCATCTTCACCTGAGCCCTGTGCGGCTCTTCAAGGATGATGTTACTCAAAAGATATGCTTCATTTCAAGGCAAATAGTGTCTGACTGCGGAGCTTCATCTTCCCTGCAGGGAGAGGATAAACCATTTTCAGCCTGAATGAGTGATCTGATTACAGAGCTGGGAATGTTATTTTATTTATTGTTTTGTGTTTGATTTCTACATAGAAGATCATTTCTGTTTAAATTTTACAGTAAGTGAAGTTTTTGCAGAATTGCAGGTTTACTTCACTTTTCCTTTTAAAGAAGTAGTTTAGGGGGAAGTAAAGGGAGGCCTGGGCTTGTTAGTGTGACTCAAGTACTACGAATGCCTAGAAGTCGAGAGTCATTACTTTAGTTTTGCTATACTATTCAAATATAGTTACATAATTACATATTTATTTGCAGTTGATTTACACTCTGTGTGACAGAGATATCGCCAATCGTTTTGTGTCAAGAAATGACAGAAACATGACAGAAATGTAAAGGATACCCCCTTCAGATCTTAATAACATGCACTACATGGCCAAAAGAATGTGGACACCCCTCTAATTGTTGAGTTCAGGAGTTTTAGTCACACTCATTGCTAACAAGTGCTTGAAATTTACAAAAGGCAGTCAGTCTTTTAGATAAACACGCAAATGGTTATGGTCTGTTACCTCTGCTAGTGTTACTAGCCTCATCTCTTTTTTTCACCTCATATCTTTAAGCTCGATAGAGTAGTGGAGGTAGGGATTTGGAGAGAGGTTGGACAGTTGTTCCCCAAATCACTGATAGCGACACAATTTTCCTCTTAAAGGCGCAAACACCTGCCCCACAGCGAGTTGGAAGCCAATGATGTGGCGTCTGGGGTAGCCGATCACGTTTCAGGGTGCGGACAGCACTGGCCACCCCAGCCACCCTTTTATAACCATGTATGCCCTGGAAACGTCCCTTTTTTCACAAATGAGAAAATTCTAGGTTAAAACAGACTTCACAAAAGCTGAATTGAAGAGTGAAAAAGAGCACAAGGACGCATACTAAACTGAGAAAGAAGAGTAAAATAGGTCTCCTTTAATGCTGCAGCATGCAGAGACATTTAGACAATTATATGCTTTCAACTCTGTGGCCACAGTTTGGGGAAACATGACCCCTGTGCACAAAATGAGGTCCATGAAGACATGCTTTAACGAGTTTGAACTTAAGTGGCCTGCACAGAGCCCTGACCTTAATCCCACTGAACACCTTTGGGATGAATCAGAACGTTGATTGCGAGTCAGGCCTGCTTGTCCAGCATCAGTGCCGGCCCTCACAAATGCTGTTTTGACTGAACGGGCACAAGTTCCCACAGACACACTCCAAAATCTTGTGGAAAGCCTCCCCCAAAAATGGAGGCTGTTATAGCTGCAAAGTGGGCCAACAACAAAATATTGCCCATGATTTTGTAATGGGCTGTTCAACAGGCTCATGCAGGTGTGATGGTCAAGTGTCCACATACTTTTGACCAAATGTAGTATTGTTTGAGACTTAGGGTCTGCACTTCCGGCAGAATTTCTCTGCTTGTTTAAATAAGCTATGAGTAGTATTGATAGTATTTCACCATGCTTTTGCTATCTCTAGCATTAACTGTGACTTGTAAGGGTTAAGAGGAGCTTGGATGAGTTCTGTGCTGAACAAAGCATCACCGTACAGTTCTCACCCTCAGAGAGGGCCCTCTGTATTAGATTCAACAACAGCAGTGAACAGAGAGGGAGAGTGTGTGTGTACATGTGCGCACATATATTGGCAAACCTCTGAACAAATTGACTCCATTGTTCATTTATCATCGTCACCCTTTAGAATGCTCTCTTTGTCCTGGGGGTGACAGCTGTTCCACCAAATTGTCCTCTTGTACAACCGCATTTCACATTTGCTAACCATAGAACAGATTCTGAGACTACATTGAGAATACAGAGTCAGCCTCATTGCTTCTCTTAGTGTTAGCCCTTAGGTGTTATGGTTGTCATGATTGCTTGATTAAACTTGAAAGGGTCCATGCATTTTTGACCACAGTGTTTTTGAAGGTGTACTAGTTTAGCTTATTTCTTTGAAAGGCTCTTTGAAATCTTTGAAAGGTTTTGCATGTTTTTCATTGTTGATTTTTTCAGTGAATTTTTATTTATTGGCCTCCCCTTGTTGCCTCCCTTCTGCCCTCTGTAGGTGATGAAGACATATCACATGTACCACACGGAGAGCATCAGCGCTGAGAGCAAACTGAAGGATGCTGAGAAGCAGGAGGAGAAGCAGTTCAGCAAGTCTGGGGACCTAAATGTCAACCTGCTGCGGCATGAAGAGCGGGCGCAGCGCCGCAGCTCTGTCAGGAAGATCGAGAAGATGAAGGAGAAGGTGATTATATGTGTCCTCGTGGATGAGCCCATGTTGTTTGAAACATGCTTCAGGCTATGTTTGTCATTATGCCCTGTACACTATGTAGTGTACTATTTTAAAAGTCATTTTGTAGAGATATTTGAGAACATAGTGGAGGATATCCACTGCACTCTTACAGTCCCACAGTGACCCACAATAGTAGGTATTCAAGCAATGAACTCCAGCAGAGACATAATACCTATAATGCACTGTTGTATGTGAGAGAACGTGACCGCTGTCACAGACTGATGAAGGATTACTGTAGAAAATAATTTATTCTGAATCACATATTCTGTTTCTAATAGTGTTCTGTATTAGATTCAAGTTTATTCAAAGCAGAGCACCCTCATAATTAAAGAGGTTTAGCCGTGGTAAAAATCACTGTAACGCACAGCCTCTACTGGCTTATTATTGCTTTTCTAAAAAAGTTATTACACTAAATGGTTGCGAGTACACTGCCTGATGGATGAGACATTGTTTTATGATAGTTTTGATCTAAAACATCCATGGCAGAGAGGTACATGCAGGGTGTTGCAAGGCATAATAGTCCAAAATTTTATTTCGTTTTTTTTTAGTTTTACCACTGTTTTACCATTATCTACATATAAAAACACAGAAGACACATGTAAGTCCATTTTGAATAGTAAAAAACATTCCTGTATTTGCCTGGTTCTTATCACCACCATTATAAAGAAATCAGTAAATTTCTCTACAATGAACTATTTCACACCAAACCACTCAATGAATTTGTTTACGTCGTAGCTGTTAAATTATGCAGAAAAATCAGTGGAAATTCCTTTAACAGGATGCTATGTCTTTCAGTTACTTGGTGCATAAATACAAATTTTAATGTGTGTGTGTGGTCATGTGCATGTGTTGAGTATTACTTTACAAAGGCTTTGGACTATGGCTTAGCCAATCAGACTTTAGAAATAGAACTATCCATTTTCTTAAGTGCTCCTCATTTCCCAGTGTAGACAGTGTATTAGGAAAGCACCAGGTCACATTTCCATGTTGTTCCATAGTGTTTTACTGTAACTCCCCAGGAAGAACGTTTGTCAGCCTGTTAATCCATCTGTCCATAAAGTTTACTGCTGAAGTATGTAACATTAAAGTCATTCCTTCTAAGAAGTGCGTCTGACCTGCATCCACCACCTCTGGTAACTGCTGTCTGCTTGCCAGGCCCTCGGGCAGGACGGCTCGATTAGACCTGATAAAAGGACTCGTAACACTGAGAGTAAGGATGGTCTATGTGGATGGCAGTGAACATCTAGACTTCCTGGAGCCTTCATGCCTGACCACTCACACACACCAAAATGTACCATTTCGGGTCAGTGACCTGGACTGTATAACGTCGCCAAGACCATGGCTTTAATTCATGCTAATTCACAGGAAGTCTTTCTAAGCGTCTGAAGCATAATGCGCTTAAGATGTTACTGTATAGGAGTCTTTCACCAGACTGATTTTTCATGTAAATGAAATTCTGCTTTCCTGTCAGCCAAGTGGGTGCAGCATGCAGTAAGCAAAGGCTGCCAGAAGGCCAATATACAGCCCCCCTACCCCCCTCACACTGCAATGCGTGGAGATGCTGGCAGGAAAGCTGCTCAGGCACACGCTATTTATAACCAACGTAGCCATGGATGCTCTCTCTGCTCTCTGTGTGCTTGCCTGACCCGATTCTGCAAGCTTGCACACTCAAAGAGCCAGACTGAGCCATGCTAATCCTTGACTCACTCATTTATAATTTCCATAATAATTAGCAGACGAGGTTGAGAAAATCTTGCCCATGTGCTAACTGTTATCAGTTGGATGTTTTTTGAATGCCATGTGATGAGGAATGGCATCTAAAACTATATACATATTTTAATATTTTACAAAAATTACATGTGGAAAGTCGTGTTCATCTGATCAAAATTCATTAGGATTAACTTTGCAGGAAATTGTACATCATTTAAGTATTTTGTTTTGTCAATACAATTATGTCGTAGTCAGGTGGTCTGTATTATTAATGCCATTAAAGCAGCTGTCAGCTTTTGAGTGCTGATTCTGTTTGATAAAAAATTCAACACAACCCAGCTGGAGCTCCCTAACAGATGAGGCCCAGTCTGTGTGTGCAGCCCTGCATAGACCACTTTCATATCAGCTCTACCAAATGTGCGACTGTACAACAAAGTGAATATGTACAGTGGGTTTTTACTGTATGGTTCAATCTACTGAATGGATTCAAAGTTCAAAACACTTTTAAAATAGACTTTAGACTAAAGTCCATGTTTTGTAAAGTCCATGCAATTTGTAACTGTTTCTAAGAATTTTGGTTTCCTTTGTTTTTGTTTTTGTTTCTGTCATCATGTCTATTTATTCAGCCAACCATAGGGTCAGTTGGCAGGACTTTAATATGTATGACTTCATTTACATGTGGATTTTGATTGCCTCTCCTCTAGAACACCAGTGAATATACTGCAGCATGTAAAGACACCGGGGTGCTAATTACTGTTGCAATGACTTTATGATAGTTTCTTTTTTACTGTGCAGCACATTTTGTGTTGTGTAGCACTGTTACCTCCGAGTTTTATGAATCTGGCCCTTACAGGGGTTTCCATAGTGACATGAAAACGTGGGACAGCGTTTTTTGAATAAAGTTCTTTTTATTTATTTAAAAATTTATGACAGATCTAAATCTTTCAAAATCCAAAAGGTCTTTGAAAAAAAAAAACATTGAAAAAAATACAAAAAAGGAGGTTAGGGTTTGGGACAGACATTTCACAATAGAAAAATAGAATAGAAACTAGGTAAAGGGAAACAGGCATTTTTAATTTATTTCAAAAACTGAAAAATGACAAAAATGGAGATACAAGGTTTTGTTCCGACAGCATCGATGTATTTAGCTTATTACTATCTCAGTTAATGTCTTGGACTGGTATTGTGAGACCACAGTTTGAATTAATTCAATAGAATGGTCCATATGCTGGTAAGCATGTATTATAAGCATGTTCAGACTTTTGCATATGACTGTACAAATCTGTCACACTAAGTTTTAAGAGAAGGAAATTCTTATACAGACTTTCAGTTTACCCTTTCAAGTTCTGGTATGCGTTTTATAAGTAATGTTCTTTACTCTTGCTCGCTTTTCTTCCTCTAGAGACAAGCCAAGTATTCTGAAAACAAGCTGAAGTGCACAAAAGCTCGCAACGACTATTTATTGAACCTGGCAGCCACCAACGCTGTGGTGGCAAAATACTACATCCACGATGTCTCGGATATGATTGATGTGAGTATGCCTCGTGAGGCGTATGTTTGTTTGTGTGTTTTAGCTAGGATTTGTAAGTGTTGGTTTAACACAGTTGAACTGTGGAGGACTCCCATCTGTCTTCCATTGCATTGTGGGTACTGGGTCTTGCTAATGCTGATCTGACTGTTATTTCCTGCTAATGTCTAACATTTTCTTCATTTAATTTTCTCTGGATTGCATATTGTACAGTTTATTTGGTATTATTGCAAGTCTGGCAACTGCCTTAACTGTAATTCTTGTATCCTGTAATTACAGTTCCATTGTGAGACACATTCACCGTTTACAAAAACTAGCTGAAAGCCCATAGCAGCGGTGCTGCAACCCACACAGATATTTATTTCAGCTTTATAGCCAGTAACCTGGCAACTAGTGTCATTGCTTTATGTATATTACTTGTAATCTGCCCACTAGAATTACTGTTATGTTTGGCACTGCAGTGATTATCCTGTTCACCCTTTTTTCAAAACTGAGGATAACACTGAAGGATTTCCCAAGCTGACCCTTCATGTATGCTCACTTTTTGCTGTGTGCGCGTCATGTCGGCATTAGTGTGTGTGAGTAGATGACGCCAACCTCAGGGATTTGTGCTGAGAGATGTAGTGTGGCCTCGCATTGCTGTCTGTCACTACTCAACACGCTGATCTCCTGAGGCGGCGGAGGAAAACAAACACTCACACGCGCTTATATTGAAATATGGCTCACGGTGGCATATTCAGGGCAAAGCTTCCTCTCGGTTGTTTTCTGCTAAAGGCAAAGAGATGGAGAGTGAATATAGGCCATTTGCAGATGAACTAGTAAATAGCAATGGAGAACCATGACTTTTATTACTAGGCCTTCAGAGTGGACAATAAATGTCAAAGCTCTGTCAAAAATGAGGGAAAATAATGCTAAGATCTGCTAGCACCCCTGTGCAATTCAGGTAGTTTATTTACGCCAAGCTAATGTCCATTCACATGAAGATTTTTTGCCTGGTGTTGATTAAACGCTGACATTTGCAGCTTGTAAAATACATTCCATATGTTTTATTCAAAGCTTATAGCAGACATTTATGAAATATTTTACATTTGATTTTAATATTGGTAATTGATAGTTAATCTGACATGTTAGGCTTTCAGTCCAGCTGCTAAAGGCCTAACCAGTGGGAGAGTTTTGCTTGGCTACTTATCTGCCTAGATACTATTATAACATAGAATATTTTTTTTGGGCAATTGAATAATTTAATCTCTTTTTCCCCATCCAACATATAACAACGAAATAAAGGTGTTGCTATATTACTTGCAGAGATTACATAAAACTAGCATGATGGTTAAAATAATAGCATAAGTAAATATAAATAAAATAAAAAATAAATATAAGACGTATTGATGCATAGTTAATCTAATAAAGCACTAACTTTATATTTTGTAATCATTTGACATACTTTGTACTTTTGTAAAGGAAAAATAGATATAAAAGATTACACGCTGATGTCTCTGCATCAATGAAACTATGTTCATGTTTTATTCATGAGAGTATGAAAGGAGAGCTCGGGGTCAAGAATGAATGTCTATGAGGGTAAGTTGGCGAGGGGTTTAGCCCAGGACCTCAGTCAGAAGGTCTGCATGTGGGGCTTTTCAAACCACTAATAGACAGACACTGAGGCAGTGCTGTGCCACAGAGCCCACCTCTGTGCACAGAGAAGTTCATGTGGCCCCTGTGGCTTTCTGTAGGTTTTCTTAGGCCTTCAGGTTACTTGGTATTTCTGTGCTCTTCCTGCCACTGTGTAAAACTCCTTGCAGTCAGATTGTGGCCACAGATTGTGGTTTAACTTGAAACCGGCTTGAGCTGGGTTGCTGACTTGTGTTGGCCATTAAAGGACGTTGCATGATTCTAGGGGCTGCAGCTAATAATTATTTTTATTATTGATTAATCCAGTGGGGTCTTGGAGCCCCATTACCCAGGGGAGATTAGTGGTAACCTTCAACACATGAATGTGTGAGTAATTAGTGTTAAAAAAAGAACTTCTGGAGTGTGATGGCGTTCCAGAAGGAAGTTTAACATACTCTTGAATAACCTGTCTCTTTTCTATTCGATTAATCAAAAAATACAACCAATATGGCTTCTGCAGTTGCCTCACACTTTACCCGCCATGGCAACACCATCACTCAGAGGCTACCTGGCCTGTGTACTGCACATTCACACATCACGCATGCCTAAACTACATCACAGTTCACACGCTGGGAAGCCATGTTATCATGTTAAGTTTAGTACTCATTAGTATTTCTATTGCATTTCTTTCAACCTATCTATGAATTTTAGAACACAGGATGACGAAAGGGATATGCACACAAACCTTCTTAATGCTCTTGGTTTAGCATGAGAGCATGTGTATATTTTGCCCAGCCTTGTTCATGCTACTGTAATGTCATTACTGGTAAATAATACACAAAGCATAAAAGCCTGGACAAAATGGAAGAAAATTAACAAATCAGTGAAAGAAGCTGCTGGTGTTCTCAAAAAACTGGACTATCCACTCCAGAGTCCAGACCTCAGCGTCGGTGAATGTGTTTGGTATTACTTGGATTGTGAGAAGCAGACAATGCAGCCACCTTCCAAGACTGAAAAGAATGGAAGCTGAAATAAAGACAAAGGGTGGACACATTAAATATTGGAAAATTGTGTATTATATTTAGTTGTTAAGGCTTTTGTGTTATTTTCTGTTCAATGGTTTTCTGACACTGACAAATTAATAACTTATACTTAATGGGCATTTTGGCTGGAACTTGGATGTCTTTGCACAGTGCTGTAGTAATGTGACAGACGGTTCAAATCTGGCAGAGGACACAGAATGGGTAGTGACACCATTTCTTCTTTTATGGTGCAATGAAAAAGTAGAAGCCATATCGCCCCCTGCTCTTCCTTTAGTGTACTGCAATCTGTCAGAATGACTGTATGCATCATATGAACATTATAGAGCAGTGGTCACCATTCCTTGTCCTGGAGATCTGGCTTCCTGTGGACTCTAGTTTCAGTTGCCTGATTCAGTTAATTAAGTTCTTCAAAAGTTCTTGATGGCTGGATCAGATGCTTTAGTGTTAGGTAAAGGGGAGGTTACATGCAGGTTGGAACTAAAATTAATTGTTCCAGCTCTTCTTGATTCCAGTGCCCCTTTGAGGGCAGGATTCCACTGCTGCGCTTCTGAGCGCAGCACATACTGTAAACTCCTCCAGGGATACTGCAAGGTGATACTCCCCTGCCCCTTTCCTTAGACATGGTGGTCTTTATAAAAGAGCTGGGTCTGCTTTATGGTCCTGACGTGTATAAACAAAGCCAAGACTCAAACAGTATTGCAGCAGCCCACACGCTCTCAGCTGTTTACTGGGTGCAAATACACTCAAGCACACTGCATGCACATGCCGAATCAACTGAATTGAGTCTGGTTTATAATTCCGCTGGCTTGGGGAAATGAGTGTTCCTTTGGCTCTGTCTCGGTCTTGCTCTTTTAAACACCATTCAAACACACTGAAGTGTGACAGTCACTGTGTGTCGAAATTGGCTTTCATGTTGGAGCCCTGTGATTGGCTGTTAGCCTGCTGCCAGGTTTTCCTCTCCGCCGTGATTGGCTTTCTCCTGTTCCTGTGGTCTGCCTTGGTGTGTGGTGTGTGTGTCACCTATAATCCACTGAGAAACAATGAGAGGCAGCAGGAATTGATTCTTTTGCAATTTCTATGTAATTTTGAATATACATAAATACATTTAGTGTGGACCTTTCAGTGTATTACTGATTGAAGAATTGATTTTGATGTACTGACTCAAAATTCTCAGCAAAGCTTATTTTTAAAGGTACAGTGTGACCCACAGTGTTGCTGCGAGTAGGGAAGAAGGCTGACATGTACTTGTCAGGCAGACATGTACTTGTCAGGCAGACAGTAGACAGTACCCAGCAGACAGACTGAGAGCAGATTAATGTACACTTACTGCCTGACTGAGTTTCAAAAGTGCTGGGCCTTTTTTGTATTCATAATGTATTTTTTGCTGTATTTATACAAGGTGTGCCCTACCTGACAGTCAGCTGCAATGTTTACAATTTGCTGAATATTGTTTGGAAAGAACAAAACCTAAATAAATACTTAGTTTACTTTCAGGAAGTCTGGTTTCTGTCTGTTGAACATTTTTGTAAAACATGATATAGCTTGATTTTTAGGGATACACGGTAATATTAGAATCGATATCTGCAGACAATTTGTTAAAACGATTATCAGCTTCCAGCAAATGTTCAGATTTGACTTCAAACTGATATTTAGTGATGTATTTATTGTACTCCTAAAAAGCAGAATGTTTCAGCGATGCTATGATACTATAAATACTATACCTGATTATTATTGTATATTATAATTTTATTACATTTACAGTAAATTTGCACTACATTCATCTGTAATGTTGATCAAAGTGGATTTAGTCTCAGTTTCTACATTTTGTGATTTTTGATTGATGTTTATATATTGTCTTTGGCAGACACATACATAAAAAAATATTATCAGCCCAGTATCAGTATCAGCCCAGAATTCCCATGTTGGTGCATCTTTAAATGTTTTAGCATAGAGTGCCAGTACTCGGAAAGAATGGATTAATTAACATAATTAATGCAAACTTAACTATCATTAAATACTGTAATCCTTTGATATATTTGGAAAAAAAACTGTGATACTCAATTTTATTAATACCATCCAGCACTACAGTACAGCAGTGTGAAAAGAGGAAGACTGTAAAAGTTCATGGTTTCAGATTAGGTGAGTAAATAACAATATGATACTGTGTTTTTAACTTCGACTCAGTGCATCAATTCACATTCCACCACAATTTGATTTGATTATTTGGGTATGATTTGAATTATTTTGGTACAATAAAGCTTTGCAGAATCAATGCAGTTGACTCTCTGCCCTCAGATTGATGCATAGCGGTGCAATAATACAGTTTCACACCCCTGTAGACCGTACAGCCCCCTCTAACACCCTCTACAACCTTAAGATCATACTGCAGCATCAGAAAAATCCAGTGTGGTGTCACCACAGCAGACGGTTACAGACACAAATAGCATTGCTGCTATCACTGCTATAGCATTTAAGGATGCTGCTTGACATCAGCTCATTGAATTTACATAATGGGTATTCCAGTCAGTGCTATGGTAATGTATTCTGTTCTATACTAGTAGTAGTTATTTTTGAATGCACATTCAATATCATAGTACTATGCGTTGTTTTCTCAATGCAGATTTGCATATATAACCATTAAGCACTAATCTATTCTCTTGCTGGACGGTTATACTTAGTACTTGATTAAATGTGAATAAGTCTAGACTGTTGCTCATATACTATTGTATTTTGAATAGTTCTTCGTCCTCAGTCACACTCGCACTTGATCAGGCTAAGACAAGACTTTTAGGTTGTGAACCCTTTAAGATTCTCTGTATGCTTTTTGTCACTTTATCTCTGTTTATATGTTTTTAGAAGTCACTTTGGATAAAAGTGAGTACACAATAGAAGAGCTTAGAAGTATCTTCTAATTAGGTTATTCAAATGAGCCCCAGTACTAGCTACGCCAGACACCTCCTTGAGCCTAATGAATGAGTTTATGGCTCAATAGAGAGCTAACTGACTCCTCTTCATTAAATGACCATATAATGATTCTCAGAAATGTTCGTTTCCCTGCAGCATATTTGAAACTCGTGCCGTGTTCTACTAAATAAGGTTAGTTTATGCGCTTTTTTTAACACCGACTAATTAGGCTGCGTGTCCCACTGTGCTTGTACTTCTAAATTTGTGTGTTATGTGTCTTATTTTGCAGCAGATTCAGATCTTTCTGTTTGTATGTCTTGTTTGATGTCTTTGTGCATGTATTGTTATCCAAAAAGGTTATAGGAACTGCCACTTATCTTACATTTTATTAAGGGCTCTACTTTTCAGACAAGTATAGAACAGTCAATAATAAAGACGTTAATTAGATGTTCAATGTTTCTGGCATTTCTTCGGAATGGATCTAATGTCAAAACAAATTATCCTCTGAAACTGAACTGATTGCAGCCTGTTTCCATAGTGAATAGAGAAGAGTTATTCCAGTCTCTAATGCTTTGCAGGCTGTCTGAAACACTCTCCACTGCTCTGTTCTCTTTCAGTGCTGTGACCTTGGGTACCATGCTAGCTTAGCCCGCACTTTCAGGACCTATCTCTCAGCGGAGTATAACCTGGAAACATCTCGCCATGAGGGTCTGGACCTCATCGAGAACGCAGTGGACAATCTGGACTCCCGCAGTGACAAACACAAGATCATGGACATGTACAACCAGGTGTTCTGCCCGCCAATGCGCTTCGAATATCTGCCTCACATGGGTGACGAGGTGAGACTGTTGTATGTCTGTTCATCACACATTAAGCATATGTATCAGTATCTCATTAGGTTGAACTGGGATTTGTGCCATAGTTCTGTACTTGTAGTTGTAACAGAAGAACACATTTTTGTGTAGAGCTTTTGGTTTTTGCTGAATGATTTTAAAAATATTTGAAACAAGATTAATATTTTTTACACATTCGTCCTGCTCAGCTCTGCTACAAATGAAGTGCAGACTTTGTTTCAAGCACCATAGAAATACATTCATCAGAATAAATCTGATCAGTGAAAAGAGGCTGTGTGAAACATGGCAAATGTATTGTTGAACATGAAGAAGAAAAGAGAATATATCAGAAGAATAAAAATGTATTTTATTTACATGACATCTGAAATAGGTTTTTGATGTATATGTGCATAAAACCTTAAAAACAACTGGACTGTGTTGAATTTATCTAGGAAGGTTTGGACTTTAGCCTGGCTAGCTCTCACTGTGAGATACTTATATGCTTCAGAATGCTGCTGTATTATGGCTCCCGAAAGGATGATAATAATAATATAGATGTTAGTTCTTTGACTTGTGCACACAAGCAGTTCAAAAACACTTATGATGAAAAAAGTTGCTTTTGTGGTACAATAACAATCTTCATGGTAAATCTGGAGAAACGTCTGATTGTTGTCAAAATGTGTAGATGCTGTTGCTATGGGAATATGAGAAGATGGCTGAAAGCATGTTGTACTTGAACCTGTTTAACTACATAAAATATCCATACCAGATTGGAATTTGCTGTGGAAAGTTGAATTTGGGAGGCTGACAGTTTTTGTGTGTGTGTTTCAGGTGTGTCAAGTGAGTGCACAGCAGCCAGTTCAGACAGAACTCCTAATGCGCTACCATCAGCTGCAGTCTCGCCTAGCCACACTGAAGATCGAGAATGAGGAGGTGAGATTCACCTTGTAACCTGAGCTATATTAATATAGCTTTTTGCAGTTAAGGCAATAGGTTGTTAATGGCTTGATGTCACCACACCTCATATGTGCAGTACTATGTAATTTAGAGACCACCCTTCATTTTGTTATATAGAAGCCTTTATAACTGATTGTAATATTACATTTTTCAGTATTTACTGTGTTACTTCAGCTTCCATTCTTTTCAAAAGACTTGCTTTCAGGTTTTCATAGAAATCTGCAGGGATATTTTTCCACACCTGTCTTAAAAGTTAATTCGGGTTGGATTTTGCTGCTTCTTATAATCCAGGTAATCCCAAACACTTTTAGTGATGTTGAGGTCTGGACGCTGGGGTGGTCAGTCCATTGTTCTGAGAACACCAGTAGCTTCTTAATGTGATACGCAAATTTTCTTTTTTGGTCTATTTCCTTTTCTCAGTAACAGCTTCTTGTCATCTACCCATCTTTTCAGACCCATGGTGTTCAGTTGTCTTCCTACAGTGGAAGGATGGACAGAAACGCCTTTGAGTTTTCTCTGATCTGAAGCAGAGCTTGATTGTCTCCTCTCTCTCAAAGATGAACACTTTAAATACTCTTTATCTGATGACAGTCTCAGTGATCTACCAGGTCTTTCGTATTCATTTTTTGAACCACAGTTTTGGAAACTTTTTTTCTCTTATTTTCCTTTGACTTTCCTTAGGCAAGTGGATTGTCTTATATCTAATCCTCTTAAAAATATCTCCAGTATCTCAGAAATAAATAATTTAATCAGTGGAAGTTAAATGAAGGGTGATCTCTGATTTTTGCCCAGTACCTTACGTCCCACCTCAACCACAACAGTATTTGATTTGCTCGAATGATTTGTCTGTGTATACTGACACTTTGTGGCTGAGTTGCTGTGGTTCCTAAACGCTTCCACTTTTCAAAAATGCCACTCACAGTTGAATATCTAGGAGGGAAGAAATTTTACAAACTGACAATTTGCAGTGGCGGCATCCTATTACAGTACCACGCTCAAATTCAGTGAGCTCATCAGAACAACCCACTCTTTCACAAATGTTTGCAAAGGCAGACTGTGTGGCTCGGTGATTGATTTTATACACCTGTGGCAATGGGACTGAATGAAACACATGGCATTCAGTATTTAAGAGGTGTGTCCCAATACTTTTGTCCATATAGTGTAAGTCTTAAGATTAATAACTGATTAATAAGCCTACACCCTTAACAATAAGGGTTCTTTGGAACTATAGAATGACCACTTTTGGTTCCCTTAAGAAACTAATGTTTGTAAATGAGCTGTGTATGTTTGAAAAGTCTTTTTAAGGCTAGAAAACACTTCACATAATGTAAAGAGGTTCTCTGCCAAATGATTTTTTTTCTAGACATGAACCATTTAGGAACCTGCATTTTTAAGAGTTTAGGTTAAAGCAGTTAAAGACTGCATGTGTAACTGTTAGCGTTAATGTTTGGAGTAAAACCTTTGTACAACACCAAAGTGTCAGTTTTTGCAAAGGTGGTTTAACTGTGACATTTTTGTAGAATCAAAAATAGCCTTGATTGATTTAAAGGATTTTTGTGGCCCAGGCTACTATAACAGGTCAGTTAGTGTTAGAAATGTGTTTTGGTTTGTAACACTCACAGTGCTCTCCAAATGAAGCAGGCTGATTCCACTGCTGAAGTCACCTGGAGTTCAAGGCTAAGTAATGTGAAATGCCAAGCTGAATGTAAAAGTGATACTTCCTTTTGAAAGTTGAGGCTTTTCAGATCCTACTTTTCAAAACGTCTCTGGAGAGCAACTTTATGTTAAAGCTCCAGTGTGTGTGATTTCTAACACTAACTGACATGTAAATGAACACCTTCTAAAACGTAGTCTTAATTTTTGAACAGTATCAAAAAAATCCTCATGTTTTTGGCAACCCTTATGCCCTGAAGATGTATCTGTTCTACAGACATCCTGACTGAGACTTTAAATGAGGCTCTGCATGTGGAGATGCTTGATCTTCACAGTGTGAGTCACAATGCTTCAGCCTCTATAGCTTTTGTGCCGAGAGTCTGCTCTTCAGAGGCCCCTTAACTTTACTGAGACAAGTTTCTGTTTGCAGTTTCTAAGGCACTCAGGAGGATGTGTCTGAATAGCAACTGCACTCATTTAATTTTGCAATATTAAGGCCTTCCTTGGGAACAGAGGGTGTATTTTTAGCTTTCTCTGCTGCTAATGGTGATTTTTTGTGTTGGGGTGAAACAGTTAGCTCTGTGTATTGAATCTGCAGAGGTACTTTTTGGTTGATGGGGAGCAGAAGGCAGCATGCCGAGATCTCCCACTAAGTGTATACAGGTGCTAATGGACTCTATAATAGCCCCTGCCTGTGCGTATTGATGGCTCCATCTAGCCCTTATCACTCTGTGTCTCATAACCAGGCTGTAATGGACGATTTGTGCTATGGAGAGAATATGCCACATTAATCTGAGGGCCCCACAATTGGGTCCTGGGGCAGGTTTACGTATCGTCTCTATGACAGGCAGACAGGCCCCATTTTCAGCTGTTCAAATGAGGGATGTTTAACCTTGAGGTCATTTAGAATCCTGCCCTCAAGGACTCGGCTCGAATTGTCTGAACGTTCACTCAAAGGTCAGATGAAGTGTGACTCGATTTACCATTGAAATTGATGCAACAGTGGGTGCATGCTTAACCCTGCATGAGTCTGCTTTTGGTTTGGAGGCTTGTTTTGCTCGGATGATGGGGTGAAAGCATTGCTTTCACAGGCTTGTGTAAGATTACTTTGATAAACGGTGCTTTAACAGCTTAAACTGCAAGGGCCCTTATGCTGGGCCACAGTTCCTCACTCTCATGACTACACACCTTACATACTGGTTTAATAGCAGTTGAATAATTTATAATACTTTCTGAATAATATGGACAAAGGTATTGGGACACCTACAAATGGGCTTTTATGACATCCCATTCTAAATCAATAGGCATTAATATGGTGTTGGTCCACACTTTGCTGCTATAACAGCTTCTACTCTTCTGGGAAACTTTCTACAAGCTTTTGGAGTGTGTCTGTGGGGATTTTTGCCCATTTATCCAGCAGAACATTTGTGAGGTCAGACGCTGATGTTGGATGAGAGGGCCTGGCTTGTAATCTCCGTTCTAGTTTATCCCTAAGGTGTTCAGTGGGGTTGAGGTCAGGGCTCTGTGCAGGCCAGTCAAGTTCTTCCACACCAAACTCACCCAGCCATGCCTTTATGTACCTTCCTTTGTGCACTGGGGCAGTCATGCCTTCCCCAAACTGTTCCCACAAAGTTGGAAGCATAATGTTGTCCAAAATGTCTTGGTATGTTGAAGCTTTTAAGATTTCCCTTCACTGGAACTAAGGGGTCTAGGCCAACCCCTGAAAAACAGCCCCATAGCATCATCCCTCCTCTACCAAACTTTATAGTTGGAACAGTACAGTCAGCCAGGTAACATTCTCCTGGCATTCACCATCACCATCCATCAGACTGCCAGATAGAGAAGTGTGATTCATCACTCCATGGAATTCGTTTCCACTGCTCCAGAGTCCAGTGGCTGCGTGCTTCACACCGCTCTACCTGACGCTTGGCATTGTGCATGGTGATATAAGGCTTACATGCAGCTGTTTAGCCATGGAAACCCATGCCATGAAGCTCCCAGCGCACAGTTTTTGTGCTGATGTGAATGCCAGAGGAGGTTTGAAACTGAATTGAGTCAGCAGAGCGTTGGGGACTTCATGCACTATGCGCCTCAGTACTCGGCGACCCCACTCTGTAACTTTACGTGGTCTGACACTTTGTGGCTGAGTTGCTGTGGTTCCTAAACACTTCCACTTTTCAAAAATGCCACTCACAGTTGAATATCTAGGAGGGAAGACATTTTACAAACTGACAATTTGCAGTGGCGGCATCCTATTACAGTACCACGCTCGAATTCAGTTAGCTGTTCAGAACAACCCACTCTTTCACAAATGTTTGCAAAGGCAGACTGTGTGGCTTGGTGATTGATTTTATATACCTGAGGCAATGGGACTGAATGAAACACCTGGCATTCAGTGATTAAGAGGTGTGTCCCAATACTTTTGTCCATATAGTGTAAGTCTTAAGATTAATAACTGAGTAATAAGCCTACACCCTTAACAATAGGGGTCCTGTGGAACTATAGAATGACCACTTTTGGTTCCCTTAAGAAACTAATGTTTGTAAATGAGCTGTGTATGTTTGAAAAGTCTTTTTAAGGCTAGAAAACACTTCACATAATGTAAAGAGGTTCTCTGCCAAATGATTTTTTTTCTAGACATGAACCTGCATTTTTAAGAGTTTAGGTTAAAGCAGTTAAAGACTGCATGTGTAACTGTTAGCGAAATGATTGGAGCAAAACCTTTGTACAACACCAAAGTGTCAGTTTTTGCAAAGGTGGTTTAACTGTGACATTTTTGTAGAATCAAAAATAGCCTTGATTAATTTACAGCATTTTTGTGGCCCAGGCTACTATAACATCTCCTTGCCCTGTGTAAACAAAAAGAATTAGTTAAATATTCAAGAGGGTTCACTAGTACCTACTAAATTTATATTTACAAGGAAAACTGTAAAGTCACAGTAACAAGCTGGTTACATTAATATGTATAGTAGCAAATAGGGACTCCTGTGGCCTTGTGCAAAAGAAATCGTTGCAGTCTAAGCTATTACATACTGCATAACCTGACAAAAAGACATCTGAGGAAGTCCTTTAAGTTCCCCAGCTATCTACATCATCATTTTCATCTTCTTCTGCTGCTATCAAGCAAGCACCAAGCCAAGAGACATCACTCTTCCCAGCAATTATAATACCTTCATACAGCTCGGGAGTCTCGGGTGAGGACTGTCTGATTCTTTTACAGACGTAGAACATTGACTTGCTGGCTTAACCAGAGCCAAGAAACGAAGACTCTCCTTCAGTTGTGTAAATATTTGAGTGAATTCTGTAAACTTGTAAATAGAGTCTTCTGGATGGTTGCGGCTAATACACATTCAAAGCTCATTACTGTGACCATTTCATTATTTCTTTACAGTTTTCCTTCTTTTTCCAGAAATACAAACTTACTAGGGACTACTGAACTCTCCTCAAGATACTTATGTGTTATTTTTGCTCACATAGGGAGAGGAGAGGTTAAACACATCAGTGGGCACACAAGTTTCTCTGTTCTTTTGTTAATTGAAGAGGTGTCCTGCTCTTTGCTGGCCAGGTGCGCAAGACCTTAGATGCCACCATGCAGACACTGCAAGACATGCTGACCGTGGAGGACTTTGATGTGTCCGATGCCTTCCAGCACAGCAGATCTACAGAGTCGATTAAATCAGTGGCCTCTGAGGGCTACATGAGCAAGCTGAATATCGCCAAACGACGGGCCAACCAACAAGAGACCGAGGTCTTCTACTTCACTGTGAGTGTGGCATGTTCTCTCTCAAAGCCCTGCAATTACCCAGATCTACAGGTGGGCTATTGTTAGTATAGGGGTTCCTGATGCTGACAGTACACTTCAAATGAAAATGACATTTCAATGCAAAACCCCTTTTGGCCAAAATGACACCGTGATTTCAATATGTACAGTACAGTGTGCATCGGCTGCTAAATTTAACTTATAAGCACTATGATGTATGTTCTGACGCATTACCCTGTCTGTGATTGGTCCTAATCATTGTGTTGTTTGTTCTTTGCTGTGAAAGATGTAAGAAAGACTTCTTTTTACAACATTGTGTTCAGTGGTAGTACTGCAATACTGCCATATATAGAGTTTGATCTTACTTGTTTGTGGCTTTTCTGTTATTTGGTATGTGAGATCAGTTTTGTTATCTAATCATAGAACATAGTGTCTCGAACACTGACTTTGAAATTAAAGTCTACCCAGCATGCCCTATCACGCATGAAATCATAAAACGCTCGCGAGAGGGCTCCATGCCTTACCGCCGAAACGGAAATTAAACTCTCCTTTCGGAACAGATTGAATTACAGCCGTGCAAAACACTACGAAATCTGTTCTTCATCTGCCGTAACCGACAACTCTCTCCTGTTCTTGTCAGAGCTCATTAAAATCATTAGTTCCCTGATGCCTTCATCTGTGTCCGCAGAAATTCAAAGAGTACCTGAACGGCAGCAACCTCATCGTTAAACTGCAGGCCAAGCACGACCTGCTGAAGCAGACGTTGGGGGAAGGTGAGTGGTTGCATAACGAGCCCTGCGCTCTTGCTAAATGTTAAAAGTGTCAGGCCTTGCGTGAAGGTCTCTCATTATGACTTTGGTCACTGCAGGATATGGGGTTTGAAACTGTCACATTAAGGTCAGTCTGAAAGAGCTAGTGTCTAATGAAGAGCGCTGTTAAGAGGCCTGTGTTGTCTCAGCAGCTGTTTTTCTGGAGTCCACTGGTCCTTCAGCACAGGAACTTGAGCATTTTTTGTTCAGAAAGAAGATTAGACCAAAAAGCACCATTTACATGAGTAAAGCACAGCTTCAAAAGCATTCCACAATGTCATGCTTCCAGCCGTCTTGTTCTCTGTTGTAGTGTCCAGCTAGGACCTTAGATGTAGAGGGTTTCTTTTGTCGGCTCACTGTAGAGACTTCATTTTTATCCTGCTCTCTTCTCACCTCCTTTACGGATGGTTAGTGTCCAATCAATCAGCAGCAGCATTTCGGCAGCTGCTGGTGCATTGGGTCCCAATCTAATGGGGGCACGTAGTGGGGCGCCCCAGCTGAGACCAACCATGAACATGTATGTTCACAAATATGGCCCCCCTGCTACCCTCAGCACTCAATTACACTGCAGATTCATCAGCTGAGGCACACCAGACAGGGGTTAATATGTCTGGGCTCTGTTTTGGCCACAAGCTGTAGACGTGTACGCATTTATGTGGCTTCTACTTGAGTGTCTGTATCACATATGGCATCTGCAGGTACCCCTGTTTTTAATTATTCACTTAATTGATCCTAGACGCATTAACCAAATTGGGTTAAAAAGTCCGTTCTGCTCTAGTAATATTATCAGTGTTTCTGTGGTGCTAGCCACCTGGCCCAACAGCCGTGCTTGTGGACTTCAGAATGAGTGATAAAGAACAATACAAGCAGGCTTGGACGCACTCCAGTCATCTGAATAACTGAATGATGTTTAAAGCTGCCTCCTTCTAAACCACTGAATCTGAACCAGCATTGTGAATGAATGCTCGAGGGGGCTTCTGAAGCAATTTTTTTTCCCTCCTCAGCTGGCAACACTAAAGGTTTTCTCTGAGAGCGCATAGTGATGGCACACTCAAAGCACTCCATTTGATATGCAGATTTGCAGAAGTAAAATTATTTGTGGCCCTTCCTCAGTTTCTCAAGTAGCTCTCCTACAGCTTCAGCAGTTATAGCATTACATGGAGATTTAGATTTGGAAACGGAACTTGATAAGCATTATGCAGCGATGGGGCCAGGTGCTTAATAAAAGGGTGTTTTTTGTGGCACTTTGGCTAAGCTATCGCTCCTGGAAAAACGACTGACAGGAAAGACACTGTTTCTTCACATGCTTTGCAGCCTTCAGAGGTGCCAGAAAAAAATAGGCTGCTTACTATTTTTTTCACTGTATTTTCTTTGAGTCAATGCTGATAGATGATATGGCATAAATATAACAGCCGTATGTGGAGAACAGTTTAGCTTGGATGCATTCTTGATAAACAGCTTATTGCATTCTGCACTCTTAATCATTAACAGAAAACGGTTAGTTCAGTCAGGACTTTCTAGCCCTTCAGATAAGGCTTAATGACATCTGGGAACTAAAAAGTTCATGTCTGTAATTTTTTGTTAGTTTCTCTTTAATACAATGATCATGCTTTCTGCATTTAAACTCTGCTAGGATTTTAGGACTGTCCGTAGTTCATTGTTAAGTTTTGATTGAAACGAAATAGATCTTACAACGGCCAACAGAAAATCACCCAATCAGGATTTTTTTTATGGTGGTATCTAGGTAGATACAGCCAAGCTAGCTCTTCCATTAGATGGGCCTTCAGGAGCTAGGCAGAAGCCCTAATTTTTCAGATTAACCAATAATTTAGATGGGAAGTAAGAGTAGAATCAACCAGTTGGGTTGTAATTTATGATAAGTTGAACAATTTTGTGAGAATAAAAATGAAAGTTATTCTAGGCCTTCTGGGAGTCCTAGATACGTTCACACTGGCAGTGCTTCTGTTGCTTCTTCTGCCTTGATCGGGTGCCACTGCTCGCCAGCCTTCTGGACCGGTTTGACCACCATTGAGCTGTACAACGCTGTGCAAACCTCACCATCATGAACTGACCCTCCTGATGCTGCTGCTGCTGCATAAACTAAAACTAATATAATTAACCATTGCTCCGCCTGTTTTCCCCGTTTTGTAGTGTAATATTTTATACTAATGCTGTTTGCTATCCGGTGTCGACCAGAGGAGGATGGGTTCCCCTTTTGAGTCTTAGTTCCTCTCAAGGTTTCTTCCTCTTGCTCTTAGGGAGTTTTTCCTTGCCACTGCTCACTGGGGCTTGCACCCGGATTTTTCTGTAAAGCTGCTTTGTGGCAACATCTGTTGTAAAAAGCACTATATAAATAAACTTGGACTTGACTTTGACTACAAATGGTAGTCTAACCAGGTTTCACTCAGTTCTTAGAGACAGGAAAGGTAGATATGTGTAAATGTCTTATATACAAGCTTTAAATGTCCATCATGCTTAGTCTGCAATGACAAAAAAATGTTCTTGCATACCAGCAATAGCTTTGTGCTGACGTACTATTATAAAATCCCATAGAGGTGCTAGCAGAGCACATAGAGGTGGGTTTTGACATTTGTAGCCCAAACTGAAGTCAGGGTTCACGACAGATTCTATTGTGTTGTAGCTCTTTATTCATTTCATTTCATTCATGCCCTGCATAACACTGCTTAGCTTCAGGAACACGCCCACTTTTCTCATTTGCATAATTTTTGGCCAGTGATTGCCTCTAGGACCATATGTGACAGACTCTCCCTTTGTCTGTGTGTCTGTCTGTGTTTTGTGTGTGTATGTGTTGGTTTCCTTATGTGCTGTGACAAATCTTTTCCACCCCTTTCATATCAGTGAATTTTCGGACAAAGAAGTGAGTGAGCCGTCACATGCATCACTCAGTTAAATCACCACATACACACATGCATGCACACACACTCCCCTCTTTATCTCTCCTGCGAGCCATCCAGCACCCCACAGGGATCTGCCAAGGTTTCTACAGCGACCGCTGGCACTCCTTTTGTCTGAAGAACGGAGCTGCCGCTCATTCATTCATCTCTCTTTCAATAGTCTGGGTCATTCTCACTATAGCCCTGTGTCCACTCTGCCACAGCTCTACAGCAGAGAGCATGAGATCATACTTTTAAATTCAACGTCTGAATAATCTTTCTCTTTGCAGGAGAAAGGGCTGAATGTGGAACCACAAGGTAAGACCCTTATGAAGGTCACTTCACAGCATTTTATCATTGATGTCAGCTTCAAGTGATTGAGCATATCTGAAAGAGGAACAAAATGAAACAAGCTAGTGTAACCATAAAAACTGAAATGACAAATATTTGGACCTCCTTTCATGAGAAGTGTTATTATATTGCAGCATTAAACACAAATGCAAATGATGTATACTGCTGTTTTAATGTATGAAGGGGTGGGAATACTGCTAACTTAGAATACAATGCACTGATTAATCTTAATCAGCACTATTTAATCTAATTAATCTTGCACTGATGCAACACGCTGTCCAAAAGTCAGATATCACTCTCCATTTATTTATTTTCCAGTCAAAACGGCCATGAAGTCATAGTTATTTTCAGGAATAAAAGCAAAATTGTCAGGAAAAAAGCAAAATACAAATGGTGAACAGAAAATTACATAGAACCCTCAATAACTATATATAATATTTAAATATATAATATTTATTTTATAATCTAAAATATTTCATCCATTTCAATATGTCCATCCTTAATCTTTATTACAGCTTCCCTTCTTTTTGGGAGAGTTGCTTCCACACCTTCAAAGTTCAGTCTTAGAAGTTAGTTGGATTTTCTACTTCTCACAATTCAAGTAATTTTACACACATTTAGTGATGTTGAGGTCTGGGCTGTGTACAGTAATTTGATGCTATATTTAGTTGATGAGGCTTTTGTGTATTTTTGTGTTAAATATATTTTTTTGCCTTTTTTGTTGCTGAAAGATTAAAAAGAATAATTTAATGGCTATTTCAACTGGAAATTAAATAAAGAGTTGGTCTCTGGTCTGCACAGTACTGTAAAACAAGCTGAAATGACTAATTTTGTCTTATTTTTACAAAATGTTTTATGTATTATATTGTACAAACACTAATACTGATGCTGCATATAATGTTTTCATTCATAAAGGAATGGTTCCCCCAGAACTGCTTTATAAATCAGAATAAAATGCACTAATGATTAACTTTAGCCCCAGTGGAACAGTGTAGACAGATGGATGGTAATTGGTGATTAATAATAAATGACTAGGGAAGCCACTGAAGCTTCCCATAAAATTTCAGTCCTTCTTTCATAAAAAGTTTTTAAGCAAAAGTTTATAAGCAAAATCACTAATGCTGAAGCAGAGAGCATGAGATTTCATTTATAAAGAGATGCTGCACATCATGGTTTCAAAGTAACTAACTAAGAATACAATGGCCTAATGACACCCTTAGCCTTCGTGAAGCAGTCTAGACAGATAAATGGTAATTGTTAATTAATAATATATAACTAGTGTCATAGTGAAAAGGCTATGACAAATGTATACAATTCTCCCTTCATCTTCAGATCTCCCCTAAATAATTAAAATGTAACAGATCCAGTCTGGTTCTGTCAGCGGGCAGAAAAGGTGCAGGACTTTTTTTGACTCAGATGAAAAAAAAGTGAAAACTGTCCAGCCAAATGCCATTGCTCCTTTTGACAGCAGTGCATTCATGTAAAAACAGTCTTTTGTCAGTCCATTTGCCTGCAGTTTCAGCTGCAAAAACAACCCCGAACAAGCCAGTGACAAAGAAAGAAAGAGGAGGAAGGGCAAATATTTATTTTCTTGGCACCCCCAACTGAGTTATTGCACAGCGGTCGAAGAGGACTTGTCCCCAAGCTGTCACTGGCAACTTCTCAACTCCTGCTGAGTAATGGTGGGAGTCCACTGTCTGTCTGTGAGGCAAGAGAATAGAGCCTCTGCTGGTGAGCAGATGTGAGTGACCATCTGTACAGGTGCCCATGAAAACCTGCTCCTGTGTGGCATGCCATGGCAGACAGTCATTTACTGTTCGTCAACTAGGACATTAGCATATTAGCTTTTCTCAAACTTTTACATTACTTTTTCTTTGAATCAATATGCGAAAAAACTAAAGTCGTAACTACTAATGTTCTCTTTTGACATCGAGTCCTTTTAGAGAGAATTCTTCTGAAAGCAGAATTTTGCAGAAGTACATAATGGCCGTAATTAAAGACTACCTCTAGAAGTAATGTAAACACTGGCTTGGCCAGTTCTCCTGAGGTTTGCCTCTAAAGTGCAGAATCACATGCTATTTGACTTGTATTGAATTTGGTGGCGGGTCAGAACCCCTGAGAGCAATTAGGCTTTCCTAACCCAGCATGCGTTCCTGTAGGGGTCTGCTGCAGGAGTCACTTACCATAGAAAACAAAACCTTACTTGCAGTTGTTATAAGTTAATTAAGGGTCAGAGCAATTAAATCATAATTACACTCCATTAAAGTGCAGATATCCTGTGCTGTTTGCATACACCATTCATTAAGTACTGTTAGCTTCACCGGAACGTTTAGCCTGGAAAAGCAGATATTTCTATTCTGTGGCTAATTTGATGGATGGACTTCATGCTGGGGCTGTCAAAGTTACATAATTTAAAAACAAAAACATTGTTTAAAGTTTACCTTTTATGAATTGCCAGTGATTTTGCAATATGCATGACAATAGTGCATAATTTAAATTATTTATTTTAAATCAAAGCTTAAATTAAAGCTGTTTATCTTTTTAAAATCTTTGAGAAGGTGTGCATTGGTTGTTGTAGCCTCTCTAGATCAAACATAATCTCGTAATGAAAATACATGTCTAGGAACAATTTGTTAAACTTGTGGTGCCACAAACACGGAGACGTGATGTGTAGTGTATTCTCCACACATGTGACACACGTCATCATGCTTAATTTGAGTTATTTGGGAGGACTTTTCGTACATGCTAACTTAAGTTACATATGTGGGACATCAACAGGCTCGTTGTCCATCAGACAATGTTGACAAGAGTACCATCATGCCCCCTCCCAACTTTTAGCTCCATCTTCACAAGGTATTGGATTCATTTATAAACTTTACACTCAGTTTTTATTACCCAAATTTAGTTGAAATTTCTCATGGTTGTCCCCAAATGCTCGAGTTATGAGACCACATCTAATCCTATGAGATTAGGCTTGTTAGCTAAGTCACTTAAGACTAATTTTTAACTTTGTAACTGTCAAAAATAATTGAACTGTCAAATTAATTGATTGCTATTATAATTGATGACAGCTCTACTTCATGCTGGAGTCTACCTGGTGTAACATTTCACTACATTTGGTGGTGTTTGTCTGTTTTGTTCCTCCTTGCTGTCTCCACTCCCCAGACCCCCCACCCTTCCCCCTAAACCACAGAAACTGCGGAAGCCCCGGCCGCGCTCCGTCTATAATCATAAGCTTTTTAATGGAAATATGGAGTCCTTCATTAAGGTACCACCTCCTGCAGTACTGTCTGCTGGGGTGGAAGGATGCCTGTCTTTCCCCTCTTACTGCTCCGTCGTTCTGAATGTTCCTGTCACTCATACTTCTTCTCCTGGCAATGATGATGCAGATTATAAGGGTGGCAGCGGTACATGCCAGACTGTGGCCTTCAAAGCCAAAAGTCAGACACAGATGTGCATCTAGTTGTATCAGGGAAACGTGATTGGCTGTGGTTGTTAGCCAGGCTTTCAGATGCCACCCTGTACTGCATCTCGAGCCGTTCCAGCAGCTGCTCCAAGACTCAAAACGACAGTGTTGTCTCCATGACGATTCTGTCGTTCCTTTTTCTCTAACTGTTATTCTCTTGCTTTTCTCACCTCTCTGCTCCGCTTGCCACTGCTTTCTGTCCTAGGGGAAGACGGAATACACGTATTCGCAATCAGGTACTTTAGCACAGAGCCTGCTGTAGGCTGGTAATGTATTGTTGACTATTTAATGATAATAATTCTCAGTGATTCCAATAACTGGACATAAGCACTTTCTTGCTTTCCTCTCCATTTATATACAGTTGTAAGGAAAATGTTGTGAACCATTGGAAATGATCTAGATTTCTTCATGAATGATCTTCCTGTAAATCACAATAATACATAATGACTGTATTTAACAGACATCACACTTACACTTTACATTGCCACGTCTTTGTTAAATAGAACCAGATAATTCCAAAGTGTTCACTCATGTTTTCTTACAAATTTTGGCTGTTGAGGACAGAAGTGCCTAATGCAGTATTCTTTACTAAATTACTCTTTTGCATGCTTTCAAAATGTTTATCTTTATCTGTCATCATAATCCAATCTGTATTTTTGTTAGTAACAAACTGGCAGGGCATAGAGCTTAATGTTAAACACTAGTGCATTTCTTCCATTATTCATATAATTATGAAAACAGACTGATGTGACATGCTGTTTACAATTCACATCACATTGTTTCCATTCTCTTTCAACTGCATTTTCAGGATTCAGGCCAGCCTATTCCTCTTGTGGTGGAGAGCTGTATTCGATACATCAATCTGTATGGTAAGCAGTTCAAGCTTCACTTTGGCCTATGCACTGTTGTCTTAGTGACTGTGAGAGAGTTCTGTTAGAGCACATATTGTCATCATTCATGGAGTGCTCTGTACACAGTAAACGACACAATGGCAGGTGTGTGGATTTAGCGCAGATGCTAATGCTAATTTAAATGCAGGCTAATCTGTGCAGATACATCTGCTGAAAGTTTTGTCATTCTCGCAAGCTTCGCAGAGAGACAGTTCTCCTAGCCTGCCATCTGTTAGAGAGAGGATGAGCTTAAGTGGGTAGAATATGGGGCTGTACTGCTGTAGGGCTTTTTCCATCATGCATATTTGCTGTGGAAGAGCATGCTGTGTCCATAAAGCTACAAGAACAGTAAATACTTGGTTCTTGTTTGTCAAGTTTTTGTTCATTAATTCATTAATAGTTTAGTTCATTAATAGTATAAGTAAAAACATTTACATCAACAAAACTATGAATTTTTAGAAAAACAGGTCTCTGGCTGTGTTTTAAAATATTCATGGCCAGAACTACCTATTTTTCTTTACTAGAATTCTTGATGATGGCTCTAAGACAGTGGTCACCAACCTGCATCCAACATGCTACACCCCTGCTTATATAAGACTAACATATGTGATCTGATTTTATTATGTGCATTGTGACACACATTCAGTAGACCTCATATGAATTAGTTCTTATTTTCATGCAACAGACTGGGTACACTCTTAAAAATAAAGATGCCAAAAAGGAGGACCACTTTTGGTTCCCTGAAGAACCTTTCATTTGATGGTTCTTTGGAGAGACATTTGTGAGTGTGAAGAACACTTTTATAATGTTGATGTTCTAGGAGGACCCTTAATCTGTGTTTGCACTGTAAGTGTGTCCTGTGTATAATTTTTATCTGTTTACTAAGTGGCTGTTGCAAACTGGGCAGTCCTGATTTTGGTACACGCGTACACAAGCAACATCCTCACCAATCACAAGGCTGATGTGGATTGTCCCAACCAAACAGCTTTAACAAGACTGTTTTCCCCTTATGGTCTCTCTGTGTTTGAGTTGGAGAAACTTATAGAGCGAACAACCAAGTGAAAGCAAACCTAGCACCTGTAACTGAGCCATCAAGCTAGCTCATCTGTCTGCCTGTTGTCTGTCTGTCCATTTGAATGTTCGCTTGTTCAGCCGGCCGCACTAGCATTGCACATCCAGCATTAAAGTGAATAAGAACTTGACCTTCTTTAAGACATCATCATATAAAAGCTGGATAATGTTTTTAGTGATCTTTGAGCACAGTGGGTTTTATAACATGACCTACATGGGTAAAGCCCTTTTCACTCATTTCTCTGTTAGTTTTACTTCAGTGGCATTGCAGGATGGGAGTGTTGGACTGAGGGCTGTCAATCATGTGTGCTCAGAAGAATTAGGACCATGCCCAGATAGTTGTCAGATCAGTTAATTTTAAATAGGAGCATACATCAGATAAATTAGTTTTAAGCTCCCTCATAATAATAGGCTAGTGGATGGCCAGGATTACCCTCTTCATTGCATAGTCGATGGTCTGACCACTGCAAACATTAGTATGTCTGGACAGCTGGCAAATACATTACATGTCTGCTAAAATGTCAGTATGCATATATGCATTTGATGCCCACTCCTCCCAGCAATGACATGTCTGATCATCAGAGATATAAAAGATGGAACAAATCATTTCATTCTAGACTTCTCCCTCTTGTGAACATGGCTTATGCATCAGTTCTGAGATTCTTAGAGATGATAGCCAGTCTTTGTTTAATTTCCTCTATCAGATTACCTTCTTCACCCTAGCCTGGCTGTTTGTCTACGCTTCACATGTTATTATGTCTGAGCTGGCCTGGGGGCATTCTCTCCCTTTGCCCTCCACATCTAATGAAATCTCAGAAACTGATCAGAGTAGCTTTAATAGAAACCATATGTCCCTCAAAAACCAAGGAGGCCCCTGCCTCATGGAGCAAAAAGTCACTTTACAACCAGATTGCATTTCCTGCCCTGTGTTATGCATTTTCAGATTGCTTTCATGTCGTCGGATGTTGCGCTGCTGAGATAATGGCAGGCCTTGACGTTTTCTGGTTTCATGTTTCCTTTTCTATTTCAGGCCTTCAGCAGCAGGGCATATTCAGAGTTCCCGGATCTCAGGTGGAAGTCAATGACATTAAAAATTCATTCGAAAGAGGTTTGTGTCCAAGTGAGGAACCCCTAATTGTTTTTGAATTGCTTTTCTCCCTGTGACTCAGTCAATTTGTTTTGGCAGCGCATGTCAGAAAAGATTATCTCTATGTATGAAAGAAGGGAACGATATTTGTGAATTGAATCTGACATTGAGTTACCTTAGTGTCCTGTAGAATAGGTACCTCAGTTGCTGGTTGATGTTTCCAGTGATGGGTCTACTTTCTCTCTAAACCATGACAGTCGTACTGGACACAAAGCCTGTCTTGGTTGATGTGAATTTATTTATTAAGATCTGTGTTTCAGTGTTTGCAACATAAATGACTATATCACACTCTTGAGTTGCTTCAGAATTTGTGCAAGATCTAAACTGGTGGAACATTCAGTCATGAAGCATGAACATGAGGTTTTCTAGCAGGTCTTTAAAGCATTGTGTGTTCCCTGTTTCAGGTGAAGACCCACTGATTGATGATCAGAGTGATCATGACATAAACTCGGTGGCAGGCGTTCTGAAGCTGTACTTCAGAGGGCTCGAGAATCCTCTTTTCCCCAAGGAACGCTTCCTAGACTTCATCTCCACCATCAGTGAGTCTTATTGCTACTACTGAAAGAGCTTTGAACTTTTCAGTCCTGCTCTGACTTCAGTGTGCCAGTCTTTGGATGAAGATGCAAAGTGTCTAATACATTTATGTACATTAAGTTGTGAGTCAGTTTTGGCAGAACAACAAATGTGCACAGTTTTCCCCCCTCACCCATAATGTAGCCAGTGAGCCAGGATGTGTTTGCTTCTTTAGTTTTGCACTGAAAGCTAATGTAGCTAACAGGTAATGGGAACTTATACCCCACCACTTAGCATTGTGCAAATTGCATGCCTCATTTTTCCCTCAATAGGCTTGCTTGTGTGGTTTCTGTTGCTGTATGACACACAGTTCTATATTTAAAATGGACAAAAGGATGTCACTTATACCTGGAGTTCTGAAATTTCTCCCTACTTTTGTGCATTTTTCTAGATAACAGTGCATCATATGGTGTCAAATTACATACAAAAGTCTATCTGAGATTAATTACCAACCTGACTCAACTTATGATCATTTAAGCATGTTTGTATAACACTAATTGGAGTGTATTTCTTCAGCAACATTAGCCTCATACACTGTGTGTCCAAATGTTTTGTGGACATCCCTTCTAGCCAGTGAATACAGCTACTTTAAAATGGACCAATTACTGACACTGGTGTTCAGTTGTGCACAGCTTATGAAATCTCCATAGAAAACCTTTGGCAAAAGAATGAGACACTCTGGAGCTAGGTTCTCTGGAATGATGGAGCTCCATCCAGTATGTATATATATATATATATATATATATATATATATATATATATATATATATATATATATATATATATATAGTATAGCTCCAGTGAAAAACCAAAGTTATAAAGTTTGCACATTAGACACATAGGTGTCACCCTTTAGAGACGGGAAACCTTCCAAACTATAAATTGACAGATATTTGTATAAAACATTTTTACCTTTAAAATCAGCAGTTTATTCAGTTTTTATGTTCTTTTCTATGATAAATTCGTCTGGTAATCATACTAATTATTTCAAATTGAATTGAAAATTCTGTTTTTGCTTTATTTAAAAAGTTATGCAGCTAACAGTCTGTCTCACAGCTAAATATACAAATACATACAGACACAGTGAAAATAGAAAGACTAAGAGAGAACAGAGTCTCTGACACAGTAATCATCTACAATGGGAGATCAAGGTGCAAATCTGTCTTTACTAATACGTTCGTGTCTTCAATGTTGTGCTGCAGTTAGTGATTTCTGTTTTGTCCGTGTACAGCGTGCACGCAACAAAAGAATTTCACCTAAATCGTTATGCCTATGCTCCCACCCCACACCTGATCAGATAACTTTTTTTTTTAATAAAGCAGAAAGTGATATCAAATCTGAATGTGGCAGAATTATTTATGTTTATTGGTTGGAGTTTATGGGAAAAACTGTGTTACCTGTACCTGGAAAACTGTAGGGGAAAGAACATATTTTATATATGGGTGAATCTTGTAGGTTGTCACCTATGCAAGTCATGTCTTGTCTGATCAGCTACATTTATGTAAAAGGATGTTTTGGTTAAATTGATTCTGGAGGTTTGATTTGCAGTGTGGGAGAATATTATCTGTGTTTCTTTTTTTTTTGTTTCAGAGCTCGAGTCATCTGCTGAACGAGTCCATCACATTCAGCAGATTATAGTCACTCTTCCTCGCACCATCATCATCGTCATGAGATACCTGTTTGCGTTTCTCAACCAGTGAGTCTACAGCTTTTAAACTAAATTTCTTGAAAGACTTCAGAATTTCACTGAGAAACTGAATCCTGGGAGTAGCTCGTGATTACTTTTCCACATATCTCTATGTTTGTACTGCTGCATAGTAAATCAGCATGTATATGAATAACTGCAGTCAAAGGCACAGACATTCATTATATTCTGAGTTATTGAACAGCCCCAGACTGTTCATGTCCAATTCATTACCGCGTCTGTCAAGCAGTGCTTTAGAAGTTATTTATGCCAGAGGAAAAGCCAGGGCTCTGTGCGGTACTATACCTGTCCTTTTTTATTGTACTCATATTGATGCTACCTCTGCATGCTTCCTCCTGCAGAACAAAGAATTTGATTTTTCATCCTGGGTTTTTTAGCTGGACAGTTTATTTATACACTGAGCTGGGCCTGCAGCTTTTTTTTAGCTTAGACTGTATGATTCTTCTCCTTTTCTAGCAGTCTTTAGTTCCTCAGTGATGTGTGGATGTCATACAATTTCACTGTGAAATTGAATTGAGTCACTCTGATTGTCAGCATTGAACATAACTGCCAGAGAAAGAGATGGCTGTTGTTCTTTGAATCATGACTTGCATTTAACCTTGTTCGCCTGTCCCCAAAGCGTGAGGACTGATTTCAGTTTAGTGGTACCAAAATAACACGATCATCTGAAAATTGTTATTAATCGTGACTAGAAATGCCAAATGTAGGAGGATAGCTTTGGAGATGATAAAGAAAGCTTATGAATGAGTGTTGGATGTTTATGCAGGTTGAAAGGAAATACTGTATGAGATACTGAAGACTTGGCCAGAGCTTAAATGTCAAAGATATACCAGTCAAGTGAGAGTATAATGCTAAGATAAACCAAATGTCACGTATCATACAGCTGCTGTCCTTAAAGAGGAATTTTACAGATTTTCCAGAATTGCTGCATAATTTAATCATTAAAAGGTAAACAAAGTCATTTAGATTGGTTTAATTTAAAATGTTCCATTCTAGAGAAACTAGCAGAGTCAGAATTGTTCACAGTGGTAGTGATCAAAGCCAGATATCTGAAGAATTTAATGCCTATTAAAGGTCTTTCAGTTATTACACGAAATAGTTATGAATATGCTGCTTGATGCCTGAGACATTGTTTTATACTAGTTTAGAGAAAACATTTTTGTCCTGAAACATATTTTTAAAATAAATTTATGATGGAGAGGTACATGCAGGGTACCTTTTGTAAGGCAAAATAGTCCCAAAAGAAGACTTATTTTTTTAGATGTATTACTATTTTGCCATCATCAACGTTACATATAAAAACTCACAAGATGTGCAGGTTTACTGGTGGTTTTGGATAATAAATAAAATGGCTAAACTTGCATTGTAGACATTGCGACCCCTGATTCCTATCACCAGCACTGTAAAGAAATGGGAGTTGGCAAGTTTCTCTACAGTGAACCATTTCACATTAAACCACTCTTAATGACTTTGGTTGCATATCAACCATTGAATTATGCAGAAAATAAGAAGACTATAGTTACTGTTATTGTTTTGCTACACATTTGATTTACATTGCATAACTATTTATATGTAAGTACATAATTACATTATTAGTTACATAAAGTACAGTTAGATTCGATTTACATTCTGTATTGACAGGCATGAGAGCACTTCTGTCTGTTTTCTATTTCGATATAGAAGAATGACAGACACACCAGGAATGCAAGGATGTTTTTACTTTCCATGAAAAAGACTGTACGCACAGTTTTTCATCAAATTCAGTCAATTAGCATATTCAATTAGCATATTACCAAGAATAACATCACAGCTGTGATTCGGTCACAGACATGATCCAAAGGCAAGTACCACAGAATTTAACATAGTCTTGCTGTCACACTCTATTTTAGAATCGGACCAAATAAGCTGCATGTCAGATATTATCTTATGGAAGTTACTTTTTGTTTAGCAACTGGTGCTCAACTGAATGATGCTGTTATTGTGATAAAATCAATATAATATCTTTTAGTTTAGAATCCATCATTTTGAGCTAAGTTCTCCAGAATTCAATGAGCTACAAGCAACAAATAATCAAACATAATGTATGAAGATCTGTTTTAAGGTGTATGTGCCACAGTCTTGGGGGGTAAATCATAATATTCTTTTGTTTAGTACAGACTATATTTTGTACTTAGAGCAGTTAGTTCGTTGAGAATGTACAGTGGTAGGCAAAAGTTTAAACACCCCTGGTCAAATTACATGTTTTGTTTTCTAAGTGAACATACGTTAAAAACATAATATGGCACTTACTGCAAATTTTACTACCCAATTTGTGTATATTTGCTTTTAACATATTGGTAAAAAAAATTAACCATAAAATAAAAAATGTGCCAGACCTTTCACACAGGCTACATTTTATGTTTTATTTTTATCCAGTATGTTGAATTCGGCAAATAATCGTCCTCTGTAGGGGATTATTTTTTATTTAGAAACATGAGAAACTTGCCATTCTTTCGTTTAGAAATGTAATTTTTTTGGAAATATGAAGATGTTTTCACAGATTCTAAGATTCCAAGACACTGAACATTTTTTCTCTCGTCTCCTTTTTCCCACCATCCAAATCAGCTTGTCCCAGTACAGCGATGAGAACATGATGGACCCCTACAACCTGGCCATCTGTTTTGGCCCCACACTGATGCCCATCCCTGATGGTCAGGACCCTGTGGCCTGCCAGGCCCACGTCAACGAGGTCATCAAGACCATCATCATCCACAATGAACTCATCTTCCCTGGCCACCGCGAGCTGGAGGGCCCTGTCTATGAGAAGTGTATGACTGGAGGAGAGGAGTACTGGTAAGAAAAGAGGACTTCCACTGAGTCTTAGACTGAATGTAGAAAACCTTGTGTTCTGTGGCACAGCATAACACAGCCTGATTGAATTTTCTGCTCCAAATGAATAGAGGGTTCATCAGTCAGGTCATGTAATGAAAATACCCAAGAAAGAAAGCCTGATGGCAATAGAAGCAGCAGAAGTTCATGCTCAGCAGAAATGATAGCGCTAGTGAGGATTTTTATTCACTGGTATTGTTGTATCTATTGCTGCGCAGTACTGTCAGTATCAGGTTTGTTGCTGTGTGTACTGCTTTTGGAGATTCCCCTTGCACTGACAGCTATGTCTCTGTGTGTGTGTTTGTCTCTGTGTATATAAAGTGACAGTCCTCACAGTGAACCAGGCACCATTGACGAGGCTGACAACGGAACTGAGCCACACACTAGCGATGACGGTACGGGGAGACACAGAGACTTGTTTGTTTATTTATACCTCCTCATTTGTTTATTTGTCCTTCCTTTTTGACATCTTTTTAATAGTCTTTAAGGGCTTTCTATAGACAGCTACATTACTACAGCACAAAGCTCAGCTGTGTTATGAGTGCAGTATTTATAGAGGGTTTAATGACTCCACTGTAGAGAAATGTTTTCCTGTTTCTAGAGGCAGAACTTATTATTGGTTAAGAGACTGTTTTGTCTTAGTTATGTAATTGTAATTGTTTTCTAAATTCCAGAGATTGTGTTTGGGGTTTTTGTGTTGAGCTGTGTGTGTGTGTGTGTGTGTGTGTGCCTGTGAGTGCGTGTGTGTTTGTGTTTTTCATTTGTGAAAGGCCTTTCCTAATTGAAATCACAGGGTGAAAGACTACCACAGCCTCCAAGTCTAATGCTTGATATATACTATTCAGTTAGATATTTGCTTTTAGTGTCACAATGGCAATGATTTATGTCAACCACCTCACAGTGTTCTTAGGAATGGGACAGCTGCTGGATTTAGTAGTATAGCACATAAAGAAACATTACAAAGATCATACAATTTTGATAATTATGACAACTGTGCTTTTTAAAACACTGTTACCTTCTTTTAAAAATAAAAAGTCATGGGTAATAGTGCACTGATAACACTTTGGAATATATGTATTCCAAAATCTAAGTATCTGTGTTTAGTCCAAGTTACACTTTGAAAAGGGAGTATTCTGAATGCAGTTACCTTTCATATTTGTAGGAGAGTACTTTTAGAATACGTACTAATCTTTAAAAGAAATACCACCCTTGCTTGTTTATTAACTGTTTTAAAATCAGCGCAAGCTGTGTTGTTCTCTAGAGAAGAAATTTAAAAAACTGAAGTTTTTGCTAAAGCCTAAGTAGACTGATAAATCAATGTGATGAGCCAGTCATTAGTCTCGGCGCTACTGAACTCTTTTTGGGGATGATCCAATTTCAGTAGTCTCCTCAGTAGCAGGCATGTTCATGAGTGGTAAGCTTTGCACCGTTGTTGTACCAGACTCGTACATGTGTTTCATGGCAAGTTACATGCATGCAGTTCACTAAGAATCACATACATATCCCCTTTATAGTCAGATTTGCAAGCTTTTGTTATTGAGATATGGAAAATTGTTTGCTTAGTTCATGAAACAGCACTGGGATAAAAAAAAAAACAGACCATCAGTAACACTTTGGAACAGAATTAAAATAAATAAAAATTGCAACAGCAGAGTTTTTCCTGTGTGCCTTATCAATTTGTATTCTAAATGTATTCTGAATGTATTCTGAATACATTACTTTTTATGTATTGTAACGGGGTATAAAACCAAAAACCAAAAAAGCTTATACCATAATAAGTAAAATAATAAAATAATAAAACCAAATAAGTTTAGACAAAATGTAAGTTATGAAACATCATCATCATCATCATCTTGAACCACTTAATCCAGAGAGGGTCACAATATCACTCGGGGGAGCAGATAATCCTGGACGACCCTGTCCCCCCGCAACTTCTTCCAGCTCATTCTGGGGAACCCCAAGCCGCTACCAGGCCAAATTGGAGATATAATCCCTCCAGCGGGTCCTAGGACAACCCCAGGGTCTCGTCCCAGTAGGCCGTGCCTGGTAAACACGCTGGGAGACATCTGTATCCTGGGGTATCCTGATCAGATGCCTGACCCACCTCAACTGGCTTCTCTCAATGCGGAGGAGTAGTGGCTCTACTCCAAGCTCCTCCCAGATGACCGAGCTCCTCACTCTGTAAAGTAGAGTGCAGACCACCACCCTGCAAAGAAAGCTAATTTCCGCCGATTGTGTTCGCGACCTCATTCATTCGGTCATTACCCAAAGATCATGACTATAGGTGAGGGTTGGGATGTAGACTGACCAGTAAACATAGAGCTTTGCCTTCTGGCTCAGCTCACTGTTCTCCACTGCAGTCCGGTACAGCGACAGCATCACTGCTGTCCCGGCCTACGGCCAATCTCACGATCCCTCTTCCCATCACTCATGAACAAGACCCCGAGATAGTTAAACAAGTTTACGTAAAATAAACTTACGAAACTTTTTACAGCAAGAAGCTACAGAACATGCCACAAAATCCAATGCAGTCAATCATCCAAGGCAATGAATTCCATTATTTTCCAGTCATACTCAGACACTGTCGTTTGTGAAGTTTTTTCCTCTGGTTACAAACAGTTTTGACATACTTTCCATTCTGCTGTTGTTGTTTTGCTGCATTATATGTATTGAGTAGGATGTCATGTTTTTGTGTGGTATCAGACCTGTAGTGTAGACGTTCTTGGGCATTGTACCCCTTCTTGATATTCAGGAAGAACAGAGATTACAAATCACTTGTCTGATGTCCCTCATAGAAACCATGAAAAAGGTCCACATAGCAGTTCATCTGGTGCTGCTCAGACTGTTTAAATACATCTGTGCAGAAAGACACAGGAGATATAAGGGAACAGTGTTTTTAATTAAAATTCTTGGTAAATTGTTAGATTTTGACACTTTGTCATAGTCCTATTCTAGCTGAGTTACAGGCTGTGAGAAATGGGTTCAGTATTGCTGTTGATGTTATTCTGTGGTCAGTGGTTTGACTGACAGATCACTCAGCCAGTCAGATTGCTGTGCTGTCAGCAGAGAGGGATCAAGGCTTCTCATTGGCTGGCAGGCGCTGAGGAGATAAAAAGGCTGATCTTAAATAGAACTTGACTGCTGAGGGCCTGGACAAGATGTGCTCAATTTCTCTTTTCTCTTTTTTCTCTGTCTCTCTCTGTCCCCCTCCCCCTCTCTCACTCTCTCTCTTTGTCTTTCTTTCTCTCTCCCACTGCTCTGAAAAGTTAATCTGTTGGCAAGATTCTTGCATAACGCTATTTCCACCATTTTTATCAATGAGTAGTTAGAGGAAAATGCCATTCTTATCTCCACCTTTTCCTCTGGAGATTCTTTTTAACCGCTCCTCATCTGCCTTTTATCTCTCTGCTCTCGTCCCCTCCTCTCTCTCACTCTGCTGCATTTGCTCAGGGTTTACAAACAGGCCTCAGGGGCTTCCACCTTCAGCTGTATTTCCTCTCTGCCCCTCCACTCAGTGACTTGTAGAGTGAAATGTATACTCAAATAAATAATAGCACAAGTGTAAGTGCTAATTAGCATTTTGCGCTAACTCTGCTGCCAGCTGAAGAGTTAGGAAATAACACTAAAAATAAACACAGTACAGTGTTTATTAGCATGGAACAAAAGAGATTTAGACCAAATACCTTCCACAGTAGTGTCCCACTAACTAATCCTTATTTCTTGCTTTGCTCATGCTGATTATCCTGTGTAGTTTTATTACAATTTCTAATTTATATTCCTGCACTCAGAGGCTTCAGAAGGCTTTATGAACTGAATCAGCTGTGTTAAAGGGCCTATAACAGATGTGTGTGTTTATGTGTCAGGAACAGTTGTAATTCCTTTTTACATGACCATTTCCCTACTTTTATTTATTGTTAGAATTAGCAGACTGTTTTTGTTACTGTGACTTTAAAAATGATATTTAGTCGTATGCAGATAAGTTAAAACATCCTCTACAGCAGCATTTCTTAATCCTACTCCTGGCAACCCACAGCACTGCAATGTTTTAAGTATTCCTCGACTCAACACACCTGATCCAGCTCATCGGCTGATTATTGAGCCTTTTATGAGCTGGATCTGGTGGGTTGGTGCAGTGAAAAGTTAAACTATGCAGCACTGAGGGTTTATTTGCTGAGTTTAACACGTTGGAAAAAAATAAAATATAAAATGTGCCATAACTTTTGCACAGGCCGTATTTCATGACAAGAAGAGCAGTCCATATCCTCCAATATAAAAAAACAGTGTTTTGTTATCAAAATAGTGCCTTTTTTGCTCATTTTCATGCACAGATTAATAAAAAATGCTACAGATGTCATGATAATAATGTATTTCCAGTTTATTGTGCTGATATTTGTTTTTTTTTCAAATCACTCTCTTTCCTCTAGTTGTTATTATTATTATTATATTATTATTATTATTATTATTGCTTATTTAGGAAATTAAATTAACAAGTATGCATGAAATCTGCCCCGGTTATTTTTTTCTACACTGCTGTGCGCCAGAATAAAAGCCCTATGCAAATAAAAAAGCACCGATATTGGATCGGTACATGGCATCGGCCAATACCCAGAGTTCAGGTATTGAAGTTGGTGTCAGAAGAGAAAACCTGGAAACCTGATCTCTGCATTAAAGACACTGAAAATGATTTAGATATACCCTGCAGACAGCAAGGGGACAAGAGAGCCCTCCACAGTTCAGTGTCAGTCAAAAGCAGACTGACACTGCAGACACTGCAGACAAAAGCTTTGAACTCCACACTTGTGTTCAGACCTGCACCTTAGGTTTACAAGCAGAGGTGCTGCCTCTCTTTCTTCACCGCCTTCATAATGTGCTGAGAAACTGCAGTTAGAACTGCATATTGAATGTATATATGTTGAATATTTTGAAATCAGATTTTAGAACGTTCCCTATCAAGCTGTCTAAATATCCAATTATCTGACTATCCAATAACATCATGTTTTAAACAATCCCAATGCTGTGGCCACTATAGGTCTGCCAAAAGACAGCAGCATAAAAGCTTATGTCCATGCCTGCTTTATCTCTGTTAAAAGCCCAGTTTTTCCAGCATGTGCACCTCAGAGAGATTATTACTCCAGTACTGCCTGCTGCCGAAGTGCACACTGAATAAAGTCTGTCTGTCTGTCTGTCTGTCTCTCCATTCTCTGTCCACTCTGTGTCTGTATGTAATTTCACCCTTGGCTAAAGCTCTTAATGGAACTGATTGGCTTTGCTGGTTGAGTTGGAGATTCCCCTCTGAGAGGCTATTTATTCTGTGCATGTGTTTAACCCCCGCTGACCTGGCTGTCTGTCCATGTCTGCCACAGGCAGAGCCGAACACTGGCCTGGTCTCTGTTCAGACTAATGACACTGAGGGGGGCTGAGGTGACAGGTTTGATAGGTTTTTGATAGAGCCTGATCTTCACTTTGCATTTTGAACAGTGTGTCTGTACAAAAAAGATATTTATTACAGCAGGAAATGGAAGCCCACCCCCTGGTGGGTAGAGTTGTGTGAGGCTTTCCGGGGCTTGTAGTCTGGCTTAAAGTCAATCTGAAATCAAAACTGACTTTTAATACCTTGTTATTTCATGTCTCTGGTTATATTAAGCATGATTCATTGTATCATGTAATACATGTTTTAAATCACTGTGCACCAGTGGGCACAGCCCACCCCCACCTGTCATCGAACGAAAAGTGCTCCACAGGCTCAGAGATCGTCTCTGATACCAGGTTCTGTTTTAAAAACTCCAGAGTATGGAAGGAAAGATTCCCCATAGTAGTGGGTCAGTATGACCAAAAATGTACATCGAGGTATAATTAAAATTAGATGCTTAAATAAACCTATTTTTGTAGGTTAACAGTGGCTTATTATTATAACGGGATGTCTCTTCACATTTGAATAAGAAACATTTTTTTACAACCAGTGAAAATCTGAACTACTAGCACCACGTGCCAGGCAAAAATAGTGCTAAATATTGTTTCACGGCTGAATTTCTGTACGACTCAAGCTCGCTTTTTATCCGCCCACATTGAGGCCCAATTCCATTTCTTCTTTTTACCTCCACCCCTTGTTTTCGAGTGTCACCCTAACCCCTTGGAACTGAGTTACAAGGGGTAGTGGTTGAAATCTTGCCCTACGAAATGGGACAACCCTCAAATTAGAACATTACTTCCTTAACAGGCCATTAGCGGTGCTCTGTAGACGACCCGGCCCGTCTTCAGTGAAAGCAGAGAAGGGAAAAGTTCAGCAACCTCACTGCTGGGCTTTAGTTACATTTAGGGAATCATATGCCGTTTTTTTTTTTCTCATAACACTCCGTTTGGAGTGAGTCTCTGAAAAACCTCTTTTTGGAGGGCCATGTAGCCCTAACACTTCACCCTACCCCTCTATCTTAACAAAAATTGGGACACCCTACCCCTAGACGTGAACAGAGGGCAGTTGGTGGTAGGAGCAGGGGGTGAAATGAGATTGGACCTTAGTTCCCAATTCATGTTGACTTTAAGAATCTGAGTGTGTGTGGGTGTGTGCATGTAAGAGTGAGTGTGTGTGTGCATGTGTGTGTTTGTGTAGCTTTCCCTTTATTTTTTGTCTTTTTTCTTTCTTTTCTGTATTTCTTAACATTCATTTTCTCTCTCTCTCTCTCTCTCTCTCTCTCTCTCTCTCTTTCTCTCTCTCTCTCTCTCAGAGGTGGAGCAGATTGAAGCCATTGCTAAGTTTGATTATGTCGGGCGGAGCCCGCGGGAGTTGTCCTTTAAGAAGGGAGCATCGCTGCTGCTGTACCACCGGGCGTCAGAGGACTGGTGGGAAGGGAGACACAACGGGGTTGACGGCCTCATACCTCACCAGTACATTGTAGTGCAGGACCTGTGAGTGCACACACACATTGACACTGCTGTGAATTTTGTGTTAAGGTCTCCAAAGAAGTGTTGTTGAGAGTCTTTTTTTAACAATAGCAGCAGACAGAGCGGTTAGACAGAGGCCTGAGCCACAAACACATAGCGAAAGAATGTGTACTATCTCTATATTAGCACCCTCGGATTCAGATCTAGTTATGTAAGAAGGCACAGCACAAAATATGCTGTGATGGAACTGCAAAATGTGCACAGTCTGTATTATCATTTCACAAACTCTGTTTTCTTAGCCAGAGTAAAACAAGATCCCTGTAGAATGTTTTGGTGGGAAAGAGCTTGACGGCTTCATTATTTCACTGCTCCTTGTGAACCGTGCACCGTGCAAGCAAACGGTTAGTTTATGATTTAACCTGCTGTCTAAGTAAAACAAACATTAAATTCAGGGATTTTATGGGTGCATATTGTGGTCGCTTTAAGGCACATTTTGCGCTGCTCCTGCCTTTGTACATACATGTGGCTTTCGGTCTCATGGTGCAGTAAACCGTGACTGCCATTAAAAATAGTTGCCCCTTAGTAAATAGTTTTAAGGATGTAAATCTTATAATGATTCTACTTAATTACAGTTTTTAGGAAATGATTAAGTGCATCATGAAACCTTAGATTGTATGATGATTGAGTAGGGTGTGATTATATTGTTTGACACGATTGATGATTATTTTTAAATATACACTTAATACACAGATGTGACGGAAACTGTTTACACAGTAGTGGAATATAGCCAGTGACAACACAACAAGCCTTTTTCTTGGCTTTCTACATTTGAAAATGGATAGTTCTTTTGATATCTTTGATATCACAAAGATTCTGGTGTCAGTAAGTCTGTAAATTTACTCTGTTGAAAAACAAATGAATTTACTGAAGAGAAACATTACTGTTTTAAGAATAAAAATGACCTTACACTGTGAAAATGTTAGTCAAGTATGTGAGTGAAATGAAGTGAGCTTTATGTTATCATTTTCAGACAGATGCACAACTAAATGAAGCTGTGAACAGATGAGACTGTACCAGCCAAAGCACCTGTCACAGTGTCACCCTGCATAACACTAAAGCTCTGTCTTCACCTCCTCTCTCAGGGATGACGCCTTTTCTGACAGTCTGAGTCAGAAAGCAGACAGTGAAGCGAGTAGTGGACCGCTGTTGGATGATAAGGCCTCGTCCAAAAACGACCTCCATTCACCGTGTGAGCAGTCGCCTGATTATAACTTCAGTGGGGTGATGGGCAGGTGAGTGCTGAAAGCGCAGATGGAAGAATAATGAGGACAAGCGCTGGTATTTACTCCCACAGAGTTTGTCATGTGTCTTTATTGACACTGAAAGTAGTTTACAAGGACAGTTTACACTGCCTATCAAAAGATTGGGAACAATTACCTTTTTCAGTAGGTTTGCAGTAACCTTCTTGTATTGTATTTTTCCCCTTGAGGTTCACTTATAACATTTGTGTAGTCTTATGTACTAAAAATGGTCACGGTTAATTCGTACACAACTATTTTTCAGTCTCTTTTTGTCCCCGTCTGTTTTTGCTAATGTGCCTTTTAAGATGACTTTGTTTAGATCTTAATGATTGAATTATAAAGATATTTTGAAAAATACAGAAATTTCTCTTTAATAAAAAAAATGAAAATTAAACATTACTCTGAGAAAAGTATTTAATTGTCAGTGTATAAAGTCAAATAATTTGTAAGAGTGCCTAAGTGCACTGTTCGTATCTAACTGGCTGCATTCTGTTTACACTGCTATGAAAATCAGTGTTGCCAATGTCGTAAACATAAGGGACATTTACTGGTCTAGAGGGTTCTTCAGCTTTCTGCGAGCTAAGTCTGGTTTCAGTATACTAGAGACTAAACTACTGAAGTGACTGAGGTGTTGTCAACATGGGTTTAACTTACTATTAGATGCTGCTGTTATTGTGCTGTGAGTAACTGTGTATTATTGTCGTTGTCAGGGTGAGGTTGCGTTCAGACGGCGCTGCTATTCCTCGCCGGCGGAGCGGTACAGAGAGCCACAGCCCTACGCGTGGCACGGACACTCCCCCTCGTGCCGCTGCCTGCCCCAGCAGCCCACACAAGGTGGCAGTGAGCAGAGGCCGAGTGGAGAGTCCTGAGAAAAGACGGCTGGGCACATTTGGCAGTGCCGGCAGCATTAATTACCCCGAGAGAAAAGCTTATCCTGAGGGCCACCCATTGAGGCCCGGATCAGGGGCCACACGCCACAGCAGCCTCGGAGACCACAAAAGCCTGGAGGCTGAGGCCTTAGCTGAGGTGCGGACCACCACTTTGTTTGTTTTTATTGCTAGAGATGTACAGACAGGTTGCAAACTGAAGGAAACACCAACATAAAGTGTCTTGCCGCACTATAACAGTCATCAGACCCTCTCATTGTAGGGGCCGAGCATTGAGGCCTGTACCGTTCTATTGATTTACACTGCACATGCTCTCACATACTAATAAAGAACATGGTGAAGGACGACTCATCTTTTCACCATCTCTGTCGATGACATTCGGCAACCCAAATGATAAAAAGAGCCATTTTGTCCTTTCAACAAAAATCAAACCACCTTGGGAGCCACAACATTTTATGTCAGTTTTATCTTGCCTGTAAATATGCCTCAATATGTGCTAATGTCCTAGTATAGACTAAAAAATCTAAACGGAAACACAGACTTACTTTGCTCTGCTGTAAGCTTTAGCTCAGCTATAGCAGCTTTTCTCACATCTCCACCAGGACACTTTTCCGCCAAAGTGGAATGGTTTCTTGTAAATGGTTTCTCAACGTTTCATTTTTTAGCTGAAGTCTTTTCATTCGTCAGCTTCTTGTTCTAATTTTCATGTTTCACCATAAATGAATGTAACTGCTGCACCATTTAAGGTAGAACGGGAGAATTTGATGAATAAGCTGGCGAATGAGAAGCTGACTTCAGCTTAGCGACTTTTTAGTGTTTGACAGTCTCTCATCGCAGACGTGGAGTGCTTATAAATGGAGCCGCAACAGGGCAGTAAAAGAGCCTCATATTGCCAACCCCTGATTTTTACACCTCTGGATTCTCAAATATGCATTAATTCCTCTTGAAACACAGCCAATTGAGCCTCAATCATGAACCCTCTTTCAAAGTGACTTATATCTTTCCATCTTGATCCGAAATCGAGGTCGCTTGGGCCTGCTCAGCATTTGATTACATGCCACAGAGCATAGGCAGGATGTTAGTTATCTGGAAGCATCTGCATTTGTTATGTTTCTGCAGGGTTTTTCTTTTAATTTGTCACCAGTTTACTGTTGATGTATAATGTTCACATTTTAAATACAGTTTCAGTGTCTTTAATATTTAGTCTTCTAAATATAAAACAATGTATGTATACTATATAGTTACTGCTGCCATGTTTCTATGTCCATCCATCATGAAACCTTTTGCCTGTTTGATCTTCTGTTAATAAGAGCTTTTTCCATTCCGACATTAGCCTAGTTTAGTAGGACCTTCTGGAAGTATTACTAAGAGAGTTCATGTGGCGATGAGCATTACTGAGAATAAGCGGCCATTGATTCATCCAGTTCATTCAGCATTAGTTTAATAGTAAAGACAGTGGCACAGGGCTCTTTTAGGTGACTCACTCCGTTTGTGATTAGCTAATGGGAGGAAAAAAAGTGATGTTAGGTTGTGGAATGGAAGCATTATATTTAAGCCAGTACAGATGTTATTTTTATGTGCATGTAATATTGTTAATTTTGGAGTTTACTATCTGATCATTCTTTCAGGCCAGAGAGGCAAGAGATGATTAAATTCTTGCTATGATGTTTAATTACTTAGATTAATAAGAGACTTAGAAGTCAGCAAGTGTGTGGTGGGGGTTGGAAGTGATATTAAATTGCCATTGTCATAGTTTAATTTGTAGTTAATTGTCAGAGCGAGAGAGAGCGAAGATGGTATTAAGAGTGAATTGGTGGTGCTGAATGTCTTGTATGTACCTTATCTCTCACTCATCACACCTGCTGTCAGAGTCAGTGTGGTATATGCTTCCAAGTGCATTTGAGTATGTGTGGCGCGTGTGTGTGCACGCATGCATGGTTTTACAACACTTATCATCATAGCTTTAATATGGCTTGTGGAGTCATAAGGCAGACCAGAGCCCATTGGTTTGAATGAGGGCAGACAAGCATTAGTTTTATAGCATATGAGGCCTGGCTGAAGCGCTGTGTAAATGTCATAGATAAAGTACAGCAGTGACATACGGGACTGAGATAAATATAAAGCAAAGACTAGCTCAGAGAAGCCCAAGCTCAGATCACAACCATAAATCTGTCCTGTGGAGTGCAGGGTACATTCAAGAAACTTAAGATTTTCAAGGAAGTAATAAGAGTCTGTTGCTGAGAATGAGCAGAAAGTCTCTGCAAGACCCATTAACTATTATCTAGATGCTTGGTCAGATCCTGCACATTCAAAAAGGGTCATTACAGTGAATTGCTATACTTATTACCATGATAATTCATGCTAGGGTTTTATTTCAGAGTGGACTGTAATGTGTTTGTAAATCTGTCTGACCTACAGGACATAGAAAAAACTATGACCACTGCTCTCCATGAGCTCCGGGAGCTAGAACGTCAGAATACAGCCAAGCAGGCTCCAGACGTAGTGCTCGACACTCTGGAACCCCTGAAGAACCCTGTGAGCTCAGAACCGGCCAGCCCTTTGCACACCATCATGATCCGTGACCCAGACGCAGCGCTGCGCCGTGGGAGCAGCTCCACCTCAGAGATGATGACCACCTTCAAACCGGCGCTCTCCGCAAGGCTGGCAGGTGCCCAGCTCAGACCTCCACCTATGAGGCCTGTGCGGCCTCCCCCGACCCAGCACCGCTCCAGCAGCTCCAGCTCGTCCGGTATGGGCAGCCCAGCAGTCACCCCCACCGAGAAGGGCTTTCCAAGCAGTTCAGCCACAGCGTCCTCCTCAAACACGGGAGATAAACAAGGAGGGAGCATGTAGCCCCACCAGAGTTGGGGTCAAAGCTGGATATATAGCTTCCAATCCTGGTGAGATTGCATCAAGCATATGAAGACCAAAAGGAGGGAAAAACGCTCCCCAGTCTTTTTTTGTTCTTATTCTAGCTTTAGATTTTTCAAATTCTGAATCAGCCTCAGAACACTCCAGAAGTGAGCCAAGGTTGCTATGGCGACAAGGCGTGTGAAGTATATCAGCTAGCGCTCTGTGAAGCATGATGAAAGGTGAGGTGGAAAGGAAGAAAGTTGGGAAAGAATAAATGTGTCTTGGTATATAGATGTGTGTACACATACAGTATACGCGTATGTAGAAGCCTGTTACACATATGTGTATATAAATATGCATACAGTATATAGTAACATTTCAGAGCTTGTTTTTTGTTCCTTCTTTTTTGTTTTTTTACCTCACATACTATTGATTGACCCTCTCTGGCAGGTCTTTTGCTTTTCACCATGGACTTACTGTAGGTAGAGCAATACTAATTCAGTTTAGCATTTGTTTCTCTCTGCACTGGTCGGCCAGAGTTGTTCAGTGATTGAGGGGGAGGAGCCCCTACTTAGTCCCTCCCCCAAAACAAGACTTTGCATTTAAAAGAAGACTGTCGCTCAAAGACTGCCCTGCCACATGGCTACTTTTGAGCTGTTGTAAATAGAGATATACTGTACTTGAACTTGTAATGCCTTTTGTTTTGTAGTATAAGGGATGTTCAGCAGCATAACAACATAGCCAAGTTGTAAACATATATGAGATGCAGAATCTGAAACCAATATACATTACAAACTAATTGTAAGAAACCTGTGGTAAAAAAGTAGTTTAACTTGTATATACTTTTTAGGTAGGTTCTTTTTTTAATTGTTAAACATGTACATTTGTGGACAGAACAGGCAAGAATGGCATTTATCCAAACAAAAACAATCACAACCAGCAAACACAGAAATAATTCATCAGTATAGGTACTTCATGTTAGCTATCTGAGCCATTAATATTAGTTCTGACTACATTCAACTTCATTCTCGTCGTTTATTTTTTAACTAAAATACTAAATGCATTCAAATGGAGTCAGTTATTCTTACATGAAAAGATTTCTTCATTCACAGATGAACTGGTATAAGCATCTTTAATTTCTTTCGGTATCTTTTGTTTCAAACATAATACAATCTCAAAGTTAGTCAAGAAACTTACAACAAAACACACTGAAAAAACAGGGCTGGGAACATTTATCAATTTGTTAAGAATTATCAATGGCAGCCATGAAATTGATAAGTAGAATTCATTATTTACATACACATTTACATACACAGCATGAGTGAGTGTCACACTAGTATGTTGCTACATGGGGAAAACAGCAGCAGAAACAGTATGTCGCATTCTTCATTAGTTTACTAATTAGTCTTCATGAGGTGTTTTCACGCTGAGTTTTACAGATTTAATGCACTAAAACCTTCACATCAAGTCCAGTGTACCTCTTATTTAACCCTGAGAAAGTTAAAAAACTAGGAAAAAAGGTAAATGACCAGTTTCTGCTCTGCAGCGGCGTCTGAGTGTGTCTGTATGTTTAGGTCTGTTTCAGCTCCAAGCTGTTAAAATGAGCAAACAAATGAGCATCCATGAGCTCTGAAACAAAAGACGACACGAGTTAATGTTTGTGTTTTCAAAACTTGATGTGGGTTTTTTTTCAATCATTTTTTGCTTTTGAAGCTTTGACTTGATGTGAAAAGGCCTTGGGCATTGCCCCCCACCCCCACCCACCCATGGCACAAATTGGAGTAAACTGTTCTATACTGAATATGTAACTGAAAAATACCCGAAGTATTTAAAATACCAAAGGTATTAAAATAGATTATATGATTAATCATATATATGATTTCATCCCAGTTTATTGATTTTTCAAAAATTGCTTTGAACCATCCATGACCATTTCTGAATAACTTACTGAGCATTCCAGCATCTGATGTCTTTTAAGCCTAGAATCAACTCTTATTCCTGCCACAGAATCAAGAAAAACTAGCCCTAGATGTACCTACTTACATACATTATCATGTTGTTAATGATATTACTCAGATATGTTAACTAGTTATCATAAATCATGAATATTCATGTCAACCATTGCTTTCTAAAGAAGCGAAAGGGCTCTACTACACTATATCTCTAGCATTTAGAATAAGTAGACATTAACTAATTAGTTCAGCTTTTGATTTGACTGTAAATCCAGGCTGCGTGGTCTCTGATGGCATTAAGAGATGCGTTCTAACCCCAGACTGAGGAATCACACGCTGTAGTAAACCAGCTCTTACTGGGAGCATCTCAGCTGCCCTCAATCTGTCATATGATTTTCAGTTCATCTTTAAACTGGTTTCCAGTCATCCCCTCCTCCCCGCTGCTCTCAAAGGGGGGAATTCCCGCTCTGGCACGAAAATTGCCCGACTGACCCACTTATCCGCTTCAGTCAATTCAGCTTTAATCTCATCTTCAGCACAGATAATCAACCACGTCTGTAGTTTTGCCTTCTTAATTGCCACCTCTTGCCTGTTCCGCTCGAATCTACAGTATGTAATTGCTTGTATAGCTGCAAAAAAGTGAAAGAAAGAAAAAAAATCTGCTGGGAAAAAAAGTACTGTTACTGCACACTTCTCTTGATTTCAAATGTGATGTGATGATGTGAGAGTCAAGCCCTTGTCTTAATGTATCAACAGCACAGACGTCTTGCCTTCTTTCTTTGTCTTGCTATTTAGGCCTTTTGTTTTTGTTTCAAACACACACACACACATCTCTGTGTGAGTCTTACCCGTTTAATGTGCCATACTTCTTTTATTTTGCACTATGTTTCATCCATATAATTGGGAATCATTCGTACCTTTTTTTACTGCTGGCATTTGTGTCAGCATTAGCACCCCGTAATTAGCTGTAGCTAGCAGCTGGCTCGCGTCTGGATGCCTCGGCCTTGCCCCCTGCATGGACTTTCATTCTGCATGTGAGGGAGACAGACATGCATGTGCTTCCATAAGCTATTACACCACCACCTGCAGTGAGACTAGTCAAAGGCGATGCGGTGGTGCATACCACACAGTTAGTGAGTCCCTCAAAGAAAAACAAACATCGCAAAGACGTGGAAATCCATCTGTCAGTATTAAAGAAGCGCTGCAGCATTTTTTTAGCCTAATTACTACCTGCTGCATGTGTACTGTATGGTCAGTTACCACAGACAGTAATTTCAGTGCATTTCTGTAAACTTTGTAAAACTCACTGACTCAATATGCACTTATAATAGAAGGCAGTGGGCGGTTGCTGAATTTCATCAATAAACATCACATGCAAAACACGTATTTGTAGGACAATTTGGTGAATTCTACAGTCAAAAGTATTTGTAAATTAAGCTGTAAATCTGTATAATTTATTCTTCCAAAGGGAAAAATTCATCAAAATTTACCAGTGTCATTGTCAGTTTCCACGGATTACTTCCTAACTACACCGGAATACTTTTTGGCTAAAATGACGTGGTGGTTTGAGTTTGTATGGTGTGATGTAGGCCTACAGTACTCGCTGAATAGAACTACTAATCACCACATCACTCGTTCTGAGACCTCCCCCTGACTGCCATTTGTCCTAATCAATGTGTCATTTGTTCCAAGACCTTCCCCTGAACTGGGATTGGTCCTAATTACCACAGTGTTTATTCTGAGGGCTTCTAGAGCTGCTGACACTGAGTTCTTTTTAAGAATACTTAAAACATCATAGTCATTGATGCTTCGATTTTGTTTAGTTCTTTCACTATTTGTTTAGTTCTTTTTCATTATTAGTTCTTTCATCATTATTATACTGCCAGTTTAAGACATCTAAGGCACTGGCATTGTTAGAGTTCAACTGTAAATTTGAATTTGCGTTATATAGTCACATCTTTAAAATATTTATTCACTGAATTCAGCAGTTGCCCAATGTGTTCTATTCTAAGTGAGCTTTGAGTCAGTGGCTCAGTTTTCTGTTCTCTTTTTTAGTACAGGGATATTTGTGAAAATATTGTCTGTGGTAATTGATGCTATGACACAAATGCAGCAGACAGATTAGGCTGAATAACATTGATGAATTCCTCTAATTCTTTTAACCCGTCCAGCCAGTTAGTGAGCGCAGCGTAATGATAAAGAGTGGGACACTCAGCTTCCAGACACTTAAAACTAGCCAGTGCTGTCTTATAGTTGCAATGTCTTCAGGCTTGACTCAGCAAAGCATCCCTGGGACAGCATTCTAGACTTATGCACACCATGATGACTACATACTATATTGAATAGTGATGTTGATTAGTTGTCTATTAGGTAGGTGCAGTTCTGTCTCTCTGACCCATGACCATCCAGCCTCAGTTTGTCTGGAAAGGCCTAAGGCTGCAGCTTCTGTCCTACACCAGTTACTGCACTGCCCTCTGGTGGACAGAAAAGGCACCGCCCATCCTCCTCATCTCATCTGCTGTTGAATGCTGGTATTTAGAGGCTTAATTATAGGGTTATTCTGAAGGCCATTGAGTTTTTTGCTGTCTGTCTCTGCAGGTTAGGACCTTTTAAAATTAGCATTAAAGAGCTGTTAGCAGTTGGAATGCATTGCCGCTGCTTTGCACAATGCACTGCATGGTCTGTGTTGAAAGCCAACAGGTTCATGGAGCCCCTTCTCTGTACCAAAACCATTAACATTGATTTTGTAGGTTTATTTTTGTAGTTTTAAGGTTTTTTCTGCCACTTTTAGTGTCATTGAATGAATTATGTTTGGACAAATCTGGTCCTGGTAGTGTCTCCAAGTATAAGCACAAACAGGAAATTGTGATTATAGATGACTGTGTGATCTTAATGTAATGAGGAAGACTTTCCTAGTTATCTTTGAGCCTTTGTGACAGTGTACGTTGACTTTTGTCAGCTGTTTTATCATCAGTGTTTTTGTGATTTATCACCTTATAATCACATAACATGTCCTGTCATGAAATCCTCACATATCAGTGATTGTTTGCTATTGTAGGAATTTTTGACCTTCTTGCTGGAGTCACGAAAGCTGCCATCCATATCAAGTGAAGTTTTTGGTAATTGCCTTCTGTTTGTTCACCTCTACATCATCTTTATCTGCATTTCCTAATTCCTTTCATTTCTCTTTCCTCTTCGATTGAGCCCAGACTGTGCTGTGTAAAAGCTGCGTTTGACTTTCTGCTCTTCTTGTAATCCTCCTACCCAAGCTAATGCATCACAGTATTTAAGGCCTAGTCAGAACTTCTATGGTACTTGCACGATTACTGATTCCTGAGGCACTTGGTGCACCCCTGTCCTTTATAGACTGTATGTGGACTGTAAATTCTGGAAGATTTTTTAGTTTGGGAACGTATGCTATAACGGGTGTGTATTGTACGTATGCTAAACTGTATGTATGCTAAGGTAACATAGGCTTTCTCCTTCTCTAGACACAACATTCATAAGAACCAGACTTGCCGTCCGTCTGTACTAGTGGGTTGTGAATATTGACATTCTGTTTTTTGCCCTCCTCTTGACACTTTTGTCTAGTGATGCTGTTTGTTAATGACTGTTTGAATGGTTGAATCCTCCCTGTGATGTAGGTTAACTGTACACCATGCCACTGTTTGGATGTGAAGAATATTCAAGTCCAAAATAAAAACAAATTAACTTTTTTGTGATCTCTTATGAAATTGTTACAATACACTCCTTTTGTACATGAACCATATTTTGAGTATTTTTGAGTATTAATAACTACATTGTGACAGCAGGGACACACAGGATCATTGATGGGTCTTAAGCTCCAGAATCTACTAGCATCAAAATGCTAATAAGTGCCCTCTTGTTGAGAATATTCAGTCTAATGAATTTGAGTAAATGACTGATAGTTAGTTAGACATTGTCTAAGACGTCCACAGTACTGAATGTGGCAATACTGGAAGTCTTATTCATACAGTCATATAATTGCATAATGTTTGCCTTAAGTCACATAACACATCATGTACGCTTAATAATTAGTACCTCTATGACTTCATGTTCATATATCTGCTGCCTTTCAGTGAGTTTTTTTAGTCCGTTTGGAATAACAGAGAAAGCTGTTTGGATCTTGCCATTTTTCCTAACAAAAACTGCAAAGCAGAAGAAACAACTGACAAACGTGCTACTTGGTGAATAATGTTCAACCCCACACGTTATATCGCCTTGTACTGATATCAGCACTCAAACCTTTCAGATGTTTAAACCACCAAAAGATTTTGAATATATACTTTTAACAAAAATATGAAAAACTATTAAGTCATTATTTAGGCAAAACCATCCCTGAAGTTTCTTCCTCTCTAACTTCCATGTCTTTTATATATATATATATATATATATATATATATATATATATATATATATATAAAAGACATGGAGAAAATGGGACTGCTAAAAACTGTGGACGACTTCGTAGACCACCAAACCTCACACACACACACACATACACACACCCTCTATCTAAGCCTCTTATCCTTCTGAGTCGCGGGGGGTGCTGGAGCCTATCCCAGTGGTCATTAAGCGGAAGGCAGGTAACACCCCGGACAGGTCACCAGGCCATTGCAGGGCTCACCAAAACTCACCATCAGATAAACAGTTTTTAAAGTTTTCATCTTTGAGAGAGAGGAAAAAACCAAGCTTCACTCACTTCAGATCTGAAAATATCGACAGGTGTTTCTGTCCATCCTTCCACTGTGAGATCTCAGCCCTATGGGTCTGAAAGGATGTGTAGCTGCCAAGACGCCACTACTGAGAAAAGGAAACAGACAAAAAAAAAGAAAATTTGCAAATCAAACAAAGAAGCTGCTCCTTGAAAAAGTCAGAAAATGCAGCCAACGTCTAAGACAGATCTTTAAAAACTGAAAGCAAGTCTCCTGAAAAGAATGGAACACATGAAATTTTTGAATTTCTGCTTTTTCCTGCTGAAGAATGAATACCTTTAATGGCCATTCTGACTGGATATTAATTACTAACTGGATCTAAGTGTGGTCTGACGTTACTGTATATGGGGCAGCTTATTGCCTGATCGTCATGTGTATGTACTTCAGTCAGGTGTGCAGAATGTCTGCAGTACCGCTCTTCACCACTTGATGGCGTTAGGGTAACAGATAGAGTGACAGAGAGTGATGTTCTTAGACGGACTCAGTGAACACCGGTAATGAAGTGGAAGAGTTTCTGGTGCGGGTTGTTTTCGAAACCTGAGGCAGTACAGAGAGTCCAGACCGGCGAGCGATCTTTTCTTCCTTCATTAGCTTCCCAGTAAGGCCAGTACGGTGGAGAAAAGCCTTTTGATTTCCTCTGAGTGCGAAGGCAAGATTTGCACCAATCAATTATTCATTTGTCGTAATTCACCGGAATACAGGCATCTAGTGAGGCGTAGAGGCAGATAAACAAAATCCCATTTGTCACACCTGACGGACTCTTAATAAACACGACGGAAACATGACGACCATCGTCCTCCAGCTTTAGACAGTCGCTCTGAGAGAGTCATTACTTTTAGTGAGCACGCAATGTTCTCTGCCTTCTGTCTCGTCTTTTTTCCCTTTTTCACGTTCCGGGGAAATTCAGTGATGAACATCACAACGTCTCATGTATTGATTCTCTGTTATTCCAGCATGTATTAAAACTGTGATTTATGATTTTCACATTTCAAGCAAGATATTCAATATTTCTGGCAATGTCGGTGCTTCATCAGTAACACGGGGCAGTGAACAGTGGTTGCTGACGTACTTATAGAGTGTTACAAGCTGCATATGTACAATTAGTAAACATTAGATTACATCATTGCTAGATTAGATATGGCCCCCATATGGCCCCCATATGGCCCCTATATACACTAGTGAGGATAAGAACCTCAGGCGGGTTTGAGCAGCCAGCAGTCCTTTAGCACTGTGGAGCCTCTGTATACGGGTGATGTCGGGGATAAAGCATGGTGGTTAAGTGGTAAAGCTGCTGAAAGCTCCATCCTCTCTGTGTCTGCCATGCAGCCCTTTTCACGTATCTCCTCTCATTTTCATTCACAGACCACGCCGCCTCACAGCTACAGAGCAGATTGCTTTTCTTTTGAAGTTTAGAGAGAAGGACACGCAAAACAGGGCGGAGTACGTCTCCTCCAGAACCTGGCCTGAAAGCCACTAGAGACAAAACAAGACAGTAGGACCTAAAGACAAATTACACAGAGTGAAGTTACCGAAGTCCAGAGAGGAATGGAAGTCCGGAGAGGCCATGAACTGTTGCTATAATTTTTTGGATTGTTATCTTGAGATAACAAGTCAATTATCTTGTGATCTCAAGATAACAACTTTGTTATCTAGGGATGACATGATAATTGACTCATTATCTGAAGAAAACAAGTTAGTTATCTTGAGATCACAAGATAATTTTACTCATTATCTTAAGATAACAACTTTGTTATCTCGAGATTACAAGATTAGTTAACTTGATATCTCAAGATAACAACTTTGTCAGTAAAGTATTTGTTAGAAAAGTATTAGAACTTCCATAGAGAGGCCATGAGGCAGTTCTAATTTTCTGGACTTTTATCTTGAGATCACACCTTAATTGTCTTGTGATCTCAAGAAAACATACACACACACACACACACACACACATTTTCTAAGACACTTATCCTTCTGGGTCACGGGGGGAGTTGGAGCCTATCCCAGCGGTCATTTGGCGGAGGGCAGGAAACACCCTGCACAGGTTCTCAAGAAAACAAAAGTTGTTTTTTTGATATCACAACTTATTTTTCTTGTGATGTCAAGATTAGTAAGATTATCAAGTTATCTTGAGAAAACAACTTCCGTTGTCTTGAGATCACAAAACAAGTAAGTTGTGATCTTGAGAAAACATTTGTTGTCTTGAGATCACAAAACAAGTTGTGCTTTCAAGAAACAACATTTGTTATCTTGAGATCACAAGACAAATAAGCTTCAAAATCTCAAAAGAACTGGACTTCTTTAAAAAGTCAAAGGGTCACTGTGTCTCCATCACGATTTCTCCTGTGTGTCCTTCACAGAGCAGGGCTGACACTGCTGTACAGAGCTGTGCAGGGTGCTGTTTGAGGATGGGTGGAGATCGAGAAGGTGATAAAACGGCAACTCTTCCATGCGTGAAACTTAAAACAGCTGCTCATGAAGAACGTGCACAAAGCTATTCACGTCTGCACTGTGTGCAGTACACAGTCTTAAAGGAAGAAGCTCCAGATTTTGGTGATCGAGTAGAAGAGCCCGTTTGACAGAACCTACTCACAGAGAGGCTGGCTCACTGGTCAAGTGGCAGCGTTCTTGACCATGCTGGATGAAACACTAGCATGGTATCAGTTTTGTTATGAATCCAGTGCTTTTTTTGTATCGTCATATAGCAATTACTGAACTACATAACGATGTAGTCGAGTAAGTATAAAGCAGCGTAAAGGAATAAGCCACAAGAGACAGTGGGCCTGATGCACTAATCCTTTTGTGGCAGTTTTGGGCGGAATTTGGACACATTCTGCCCGCATGTTATGTAAGAAACTGCTGCAAGAGCCTGAACGCTCAGTTTATGGGTCACGTGCATGGTAAAGTGCAATGCATTCCTCTCCCGCATGTTTACAGTCATATACGAAGGTTCGAACATCCCATAGTTAACATCTTCTATAGGGAACAAACTTAACTGTGGCATTTTCTTGATAATTTTCATGCACAATTTATATGTATTTGCTGAGTTTAACATTTAAAAACAAAACAAAATATAAAATTGCCAAAACTTTTGCATAGACCACATTTTATGTTTTATTTTTAAATAAGTAAATAAACAGTAATTGAGCATTAAACTGTGCAGAAGTGTGTTCCCTGTAGAGGGTGTGTATTTAGAAAATCAACGAAACATGTCATTTGAGCAGGGCTCCCAAACCTTTCATACAACTGTAAACAAGTGAGGGCTGATTACATATTCCACTAGATTTACTAAAGTCTGAGCAGCTCATGGTGGTCGATTTTGAGCTGATTTGCATTGGGGTCTGAGAAAACCTGCTGTTGAGAGACCTCCTTTAACAGTGGTGACACATGCAACTGAGAATGGCAAAGAAAGGCAGCAGCCATTGAAAGAGTGCTGCTGTTGAAAGAATGTTTACAGTCAGAATAACATTGTTTAAACTCTCGGGTCGAGGTGCATGTTTGTGAAGACGCAGCGCAAAATACGCAATATGTGCGCAGTCTGCAGTGTTGTTTCACAAACTCTATTTCCTCCGCTGGAGTAAAATAACTCCTCTGTAGATTTGGTGGAAATGAAATTCATTTATTAATACAGCTATTATGTCATCACTGAATGTTGCTGGCTCCATTATTTTACTACATCTTTTAAACCCATCTTTTAAACCCTCATCATGGGCATGAATAATTCTGGTCATAAAATCTGATTGGCTGAGCCAGTTAGTTTTTAGGGTGTTGTTTGGTGCTTGTTAGGCAGTTGCAAAGGCATTGCTAGGTTGTTGTTGTTGTGACATCCCAAGGGCTTGTTAAGGTGTTGCTAGGCCACTGCTATGGTATTCAATGCGCTGGCTAAGGTGTTGCTAGGCCATTGCTTTGCTATTCCAGGTGGTTGCTAAGATGTTGCTAGGCCACTGCAATTGTATCATAGTAGGTGTTGGTAGGCTGTTGCT